GGCGAGTAAAGAAAGGAAGTTTGATGCTGAACTCGCAACGTTTTATCTAGATAAGTAAACAGTCGTTAATGCTAACGTTGGCTATGTAGTAATAGCAAAACTCCTGTGGCTCCTTGAAATGATAATTTATAAGATTATCACGTGTTTTTTTTTTTTTATCTTAAAATTAAAAAGTAACCAGTGATTATATCTGTCAAATAAATGTAGTGGAGTAGGAGTTTAAAGTATAAAATAAAATGAGAAAGCATCCAGGGTATTTCACCCAGGATGCAGACCAAACAAGTTCTTTTAAAACCTTCCTTCCAAAGGATTGGCTTAAATAACAAGTAATATGTAAAAAATGCATTTAGCCTCATGCAGCCACCATTTAAACAGTAAAACAAATAAACATATCGGGCACAGGGCATGCTAATTCTCACGTTCTCAACCACAGTTCTTTCCTGTGTGGGCAGCTGCTGTGAGTAGTACTTTTCTTCCCACTGTAAATGTCGCTTTGTGCAGCTACTGGCTTCTTCAGAACTGACAATAATTCCTAGAAATGATGGAATGATTTTGGTTTGGGCCAAGTCACCAAGAAGTGATGCAAAAGATGAAAATCTTTTGCATTCAGTGGTTTTATTTTTGATCTGAAGACATTTTGCTAATAGTCATTTAGTCAATTTGTGAATCATTTGGACAAATTCCATGTACAATATGTGTGTGTATTAACTGTTAACACATTAAGTGTGAAGGCTGTGGTCTGTTAATCCACCAATCATCCACCTCTGATGTGTGAGCTGCACTAATGTAGAGAAGAAACAGCTGGAGAGATTAACACTTATGACCTATATTTTCATGCTGATGTGACAGACAGTATGATTGGCTATATGTGTGACATGGAAAAGTATTTTGAATCCATCTGACTCATTCAACATAGTCACTTCATTTTAGTTCTGATTTTAAATGGGACATGAGTCGTAGAAATATACTGTAGGCTTATAAATGAAGGATTGAATCAAATAGGCTGATCACTTTCCCACTGACTTCAGCCCATTATGCATTGTTTAAGAGCCTCATCATTCAGCAATTACTCAAAATATTTCTAGTTACTCAATATTTAATTGCAACATGCTTCATGGTATTTTGATGCTGGGAGGATATCCATATAGCCAGGTCTTGTACCTGCCTGACAGTAACAGGGTGTGACATGGCCATTATCTTTCCGTAACCAGGGCAGAGTGACTGAATGTCCCCAGCAAGATGCCCTACCAGCCACAGGCATAAACTAGACTCTTTGGGTGGATGTTGTTTGTGTGTTTTATTGTCTACATTAAAAAAGAATAGTTTTGCTCCATCCCCAACATGGTCCCCACTTATAATTGTCCTAACTGCATGTCGGATGGTTGGGGTAGTGTTGGAAATCCCATCATCCCAAAACCATTGACATTGCTTCATTTCTATGAGGATCACTAACAACTGTCAATCAGTGGAATAGCATGGCACTATAAGTTTTCTTGCGTCACCTCAATGGATCTACATCTACATCTGGGTTCTGGTAAAAAAAAAACGAGGACTGACTTTCTCCTTTGCTACTATCATAATTACTGGGTGGCTAAAAGTCACCAAACAGTGAAACATAATGAGTCATAATAAGCTGCTTGGACAGACAACTTATGTACTTCTTTTTAACCAGAAGACAGATATTTTCTACACTGCCAGTAATGGCCGAGAATCCACCCAAATAAAACCCATGACGAGCTCATACAGTCAATACATGTTAGCGACAAGTTATCAAACCCATGTGGCTCATATGGCTCAATAACTATAAAACCCTTTTAAATCGACAGACATCATCAGAGTTTTTTTTCCTGCCTTACCTGTAAGAAAAGACAGCTGAAACAAACAATTTTGATCAATTAAATATTTATTATTCAGCATTTTATTGAGTTTGACACAGATGACACTCTAAAGGGAGTCCAGCGTTACAGTGCAGCACTAAGAGACAACGACCCACATAGAGGTAAGCTGTTGAAGTGACCCACTGAGTGACAACAGGAAGGGATTAAGTGTGTGTTTTTGTGTGTGTGTGTGTGTGTGTGTGTGTGTGTGTGTGTGTGTGTGTGTGTGTGTGTGTGTGTGTGTGCACGCACGTGTGTGTGTGTGTATGTACATGTGTAGTTGCTTTGCCACTGGCACTAGTTTTTTAAAGGAATCATGGCTGTGTCTACTGTGGGTTGCAGTTTAAGATGGCTATGGGATGATCAGTGAGGCTAAACAATCAAGTCAAAAGTTTACCCAAAATGATTTCAAGCAGACTATTTAAATAAGCAAGAAAAATCAATGACAGGATCATCACGATAAAGTTTGATAAAGTAACAAATCATTCATATTTCATTTGATCATATTCACACTTCTCAAGTTTAATTTTTCATACTACTGTGACTAATCAGAAAGTGAAAGTGATTGCCGAGTGATGCCCCAGGTCTAGCACAGGTCCTCGTCACAGCAGCTTGTGAAAAAGTCTTCATCGCAAAATTCCTCACAGGTTCGATACAAATTGTCACCTATTGTAAAACAGATACAAAAATTACAAAAAAATACAAAATACCTGCAACAAACAAACATATGGGTTTTTCCTAAAAATATAAACACATATTAAAACAAAGAAAACACAGCAGAATGAGTCCTATGTACCGTCCTGGGTGGTTTTGCAGTACTGAGCCGACAAAGGGCACTGTGTCACCATCTTGCAGATGTCGTCATTCTCATTTTCACAGGTGTAGCATCTGAGTGTCAGCACTGACGAGAAGACAAAATCCATCAAAAATAGACTCAGGGTTTTTGTCTATCACTCACAATATTGTGAAGTCATGAAGGTAACATCAATATTTATAATTTTGATATTGGGCTGATTGAGTATCCAGCGAACACTGGATAGTTTCTCAATGACGGAAGACATTTTCTGTTTTGTTTTCAAAGAAACAATGTCTGTCCACAGGAGTAACACATTAGTGATCAAATCAAGTGGTTCCATTATAGTTAGTGATTTTTAGTATTTTTACCCAATGTTGAGCTGTACTTCAGGAAAAATCATGCTAAAAATATAAAGCAAAATTCCCTCACCGTGAGTGCTACACAGCAGCAGGAGCAGCAGCATAAGAAGCAGGACCTTCATGTTGTCAGATGGTATGTGGACAAACCTCTCGCTCTGGCACTTTTATACTGGCATAAACACAACATACCAAACTAGAACTGATTCGTGCACTTCCTTGTGCAAGCTATGCCAATGAATGTAGTTTCAGCCCTTTTGTCCCTAAGAAAAGACAAAACCTAAGCAGACAAAGAGTAATTTAATCTGCTGTACTTTTGCAAATGAACAAGGTGTGTGTTGCAGTTTGGAAGAGGATAGGTTAAGGTTGTTCTTAACCTTCTCCTGTGGGTTAGAGCTAATGATGTTGTTTTATGTAACCTGTAAATTTCAGAGATTAGCTTTATGTCTGAGCACTGAGCAAGATTCTGTCTATTTAATAAGACCAGTTCATAGACTTCAGCAGTCTGTATATTTGCTTGGTTTGGGTCTGCAGAAATGCTTGAACTAACATTTTGTCTCAGTATGCCAACTGGGGTACTGGGTGTCTGGGTGGGTAATGTGGTGCCACTGGTTTTGACAAGACAGAACAATGTGGAATAGGTGTAACAGTATGTAACTGAAACTGATGAGAGCCTCTTTCATAACTTGCACCTGGCTCAGTTAATAATGGTAATTGACATTAATTTTAATTAAAGATGTGTCACAGTATTGTATTGTGGAAAGCTTCTTAAAATGTCATTGGTGTAATTGCAATTGTTTTCATAGGGATGCTAGAATCCACCTCATGCCAGTACCCATGAAAAACAAGACCAGCAACAAATGTTATGTCATAGGCATCACCACACCCCATACTTTTACCATTTTTCAAGTGCTGGCTGCACTCAGGAAGTACTTGGTACTTATCAAAATAAACTAAAATTCAATCCTAGGCACCCTTTTAGATAATGGGTGAATAAGTGGTGATTCAGTGTCAGTCATGGTTGAAAATCTGATTCAACATATCGAGTACTTTCAATTTGGTTTCGATGTTGGGCGTCATCGAAGATTCAATACTTCTGCCTGACATCATTTAAATGTTGTTTCACTCTGATTTTGCTAGCTGGGCTATTACCTGCCAGAAACATAACACACATGGATCTCCAACCAAACTGGCAGTCGAGTTGCATAATGGGTAATGTGGTGCCACTGGTTTTGACGAGGCAGAAGAATGTGGAGTAGGCGGCATAAAAGAGAAGATAGCTACAGTATCTCTTGTTCTTCTTCCTGAATTTTGATCAGATCTGCATATGAAACTTATCCTTTTATTGTCTCTATTATAATGAAATTAATTTAAAGTTTTCAATATTTCCTTATCAATACAAAACCTGTCACTTAAAAGGTAATATCTAGTCAAATCTGGTGTAAAGGTTTATATATGATGTATAACAGATGAGTCTACTCACTCAAATACACTTTTATAACTCGATGCCTCAGCTCCATTAAGAACAATGATGATGAAACCTGACTTAACTCACTGAAATAAGTTTTAGACTATGTATATTGCCTTAAACACTACAATCTACCGTTGTTATTTTGTTTGTTTTGTTGAATTTGTACATTAGGATTATGGTATGTAGAGCATTAAAACACTTAAATTGCAGTAAAATGTGGAAATGCTCTCTTCAGTTCACTCACCGATCATGGATAAAATCCTCAACCAACTGCCACTATTGGGACTTAATTAAATTGATTGACATACTGAGTAGAATCATTAAGAGTTTTAGCAACTTTCCTTTCATTTGACTCTCCTGACTGTAAATGACTGCAATGTCAAACATGACTAGAGCAAGAAGTTGTCCTTTAGTGACATCTGTAGGCAAGAATGGAGACAGGCAAAAGACTGTGTATGAATATTTATTTTTTCTAAATTCAACCTCTTTTCAGTGATGCAACCCTGAAGGGACACAAGTCCTTGAAGAAATAGGATCATTCATGTGGCAACTGTAAGATTTATTTTAATAGTGAATATCTGCATTTACGAGTTAAAAACCTCAAATATGTTACAAAGTATGCTGCAGAGTTTTCTTTTTAGGGTTTTAGCGCCCTCTAAGATGCTTTCTGTGCCATCTGTGCTTTTGTTTTTGTCCAAGTTGCTGTGCACTCACTGAGCAGCTGCAACTGTGAGTCATTTGTTAAGAGCATACTAGAAAAGATACTTTACAAGGTAGCAAAACATTTCTCCAGAAACAGTGTCCCTCTTACTCTGCATAATCCACAGAAGACACTGTCTGCAGAGTCGTTCTAATAAAAACTGCATACAGTGAGGTGCTGACTCTTTGTCTGTGTGGAAATACACCAATGTGTAAAACCGCAAGTTACAAAGTCATGTAAAAGAAGACTGTGAAAGTGTGAAAATAAGATAACAGAGTTGAGGTGATAGATTGTTTACTTGGTTACATTCCCCTCAAAATAAATATTTAACAAAGGACCTGATTTACTTGTTCTTGAATTTAATTTCCAGGGGTGAGAGCTGTCTGTGATGGTCACTGAGTACTTTCTTCTTACTGAGATAAAATAAAATGAAAAATTCTTAATCAGGTTCTTGGGTAATTCACGATGTGGCCTGCTCTTTATGAGATATAATCCTACCTCTCGAAGGGAGTGCTGTCACTTTGCTGTGAGCCCACCAATGTCCCTAATATATGAAAAGGTGCTCTGTGCTGCACTTGGTGATGCCACAGTGTCAAGAGTTCAGCTCACCACCACTTTGTCATAATCACTATCATTTATACAGTTTATAAAAAATAGGTGTTAAAGTCAGGCAGAACAAAAGCCAATAAACAAGCTGTCATAAAGCAATTCAGTGATCACATGTGTACACCCTGAGGCGTCATTGTGTTTACACATATTTTACATGTAGGGCCAGTCTGAAGAGAGCTTTGTTACATATCAGCTTCACGTGCTACAGCTACTGACTAGCAAGCTAAAAGTAAAAAACAACACATGGGAGCTGTGGAAAACATTGTCTTCTACTGCAATTAATATAATAAAAAAGGAACTCAAGATACAGACATGTTTCTTATTGAAATCTTTATTTTTCTGTATCAATTAATAAATAAAAGATTAGTTGCTAAACTGACTGAACAAAATCACATAAATGATGCACCACTCTGAAGAAACAAACTTAATGTGTTATTCACATATGAGGTATATTCCATTCATACGAATCATTAGCCACTGCAAAACAAGCAGTAAACAATGTCATTACTAGAGACAGCAAAAAGTGATTAAAGTCTTACACCCTCTATTAAAATGCTAAAAGGAGTAAAAGTAGTGGTCAAATTCATATGATGACTAAAAACTTTGCATTATATATTTAAAAATATAACGCAGCATTTTTTTTTAAAAAATCCACAAATGAATAGTTGTTTGGGTTGAAAAAAACAGCAGCACTTTAACTTAATCTTCAGTGGTCTGCATGCATTTCAGACAATGTTGCTAAAACACACTTGTTTTATGGTGGTATAAAGTTAATGGAATATCTGCTTATGATCATTTTCAATCATCATTTTGAAGCTCTACAATGCTACCAACTTAAAACTGACCAATTTTTAAGATGATGCCTCACCTTACAAGAGCTCCACACCAGTAAAGCAGAAGTTACACTGCACTGCTGTGTCATTATTATAATGTTACGCTACAACCAACAAGGGCATGTTACAAACTCATCTAACGCAGTGAAAAGACTAAAACGTCAGATTCTCCTGCTCCATGGCAGCCTTTTTGTCCTCCACACTGTTGTCTTCAGATGTTGATTTCTTACTTCTGTGGACAGATTGTGGTGGCAAATATGTAAGAACAATTATACGCCTTTTGAAGATAAGCAATGTATCATACCAGAATAACACTAACATATAACAATAACACTTTGTGTTGTGGCCTCTGCATTGTGTTGACCCATCCAGGCCACCATAGCTTAAGATCAATTAAAGCTAACTAATAAACTACATAGTATCCAGCTTGCTATAATACATTATAACAGAAATGAATGCTGCTGATTGGTCAGCAGCCAAATGCTAATGACAGAACAGAAAGATAAGGCATTGAAGGATCGCAATCGTTTTAGTTAAAATGGCAAATACAATATTATTTATCATAAATGGATGAAGCCTAAATATTTAGAAAAAGAGAAAGAAAACTCTGCATCTGTACTTCTGTGTTGCTTATCATACCTGCAGTCCTCAAACTTCCGCTCTCTGTAAGAGTTGCCCTTCTTCATTAGGTAGAGAAGGACCATGTCACAGAAGAAAGCTCCCTGTTAAATGAAGTTTTATGCAGTGATGAGACTTTCATAACTGGGAAATTACAAAATTCAAACATGAAGGCAAACTTATTAATGTTACTTACAGCACCCATCAAAGCCAGTCCTGAAGCAACATTGATGGCTGTTGGGATGATGCTGAACATCCCGGCCTATGAACAAAAAGAGTGTAAGAATGTAAGAATAAAATTACAAAACGGTGTTGTTTGCATTATTACTTAAATTATGTCACATCATAATGCAGAGTAGACAGTTCATGCATTCTCCCTGAAAAATGCATCTAAATTACCTTTCCATGCACCATGATATTAAATCGGACACCGTAGACTTTGAACAGAGATCGATAACTCTCACCAGTAGCATTTTTAAAATACCGCGCGTGTCTGAAAAGAATACAAAAAACAATAATGACCTTTATGTTTTTATAATAAAGACTTTCGAATTTTCCCCTTTTCAAATCATATGTTTTTAATGGTAAATAAAAATATCTAAATTGTTGAAAAGAACAGGAAATATTTTTCTGACCTGAAGTTAAATCCTGTTGCGATGGTCGTGTTGGAGACACTGATGTCCAGGCGAGTGAAATAGTACTGTGGATGGCAGTGAGAGTAGCCTTTGTCAAGGTCACAGTTCCAACTTATCATTATGCCAATAGAGCCACCCTAAAAAACAGAAGATAGATCATATGTGCCATTAAAAACATGTTAATAACCATTCAAACAAAACTGTCATTTTTATATTTCAGTCATTTTTAACATGGAACAGGTGCTTCACTATAGCGATGTTTATGTCAGTTCTCATGCGGTGACTTTAAATTAATTAGTTGAAGGTACAATTTAGGGTTTAAGTTATGTAACATGCACTAACTCTTAAATATATGCAGTTGAAAAGTATAATACTAACAAACGTAGACATGTCCTGGAAGTTGTATCTGGCTCGCTGGGTGATGTCTCCCAGACGAAAGATGGGGCAATATGGGTGGAGTTCCTCGTCATATCGACATTTCTTCAGATAGGAGTCATCACTTGTTTCAAGAACATTGGACCTAAAAGTTGAGAAACACAGAGCAGCACAGAGTGTATATGAATGTGTACTGCCCCCTTACTCAACTCTTGTTTCCTGTTAAGCAAGCAGCACACAGTGGTGTTATGCTGAGTGTGGAGCACAGAAGAAGAGGACTTACTTTGAAAATTTGAATTTGGGAAATTGGATGAAATTCTTGATGTAGATGGTGAAGTTTTCAGCATTTGTCAGCAGAGGCCCTCTGCTCAAAAAACAAAACATGGTCATTTGGTAAGGCAGGTTAAGGGACATAGTTGATGACAAGTTTCTCATAGCAAAGTGGCAGCTATGTACAGTATTTGTAAGAGCTGGAGTGTGATCAATAACTAATCAATAACTTCATTTTTTCATTTCCAAGAGAGCTTTTATGTGGCTGAGCTGCTCCTTACTGTGGTTTGAATTTTCTTTCAATGGGACACCAGCCATAGATTTCACAGGTACCATTGGAGTTTTCATCTTTTCTTAAGCATCGGCCACTCATGATTCCTGAAGAAAAGACAACAGAACATTTGAGTTTCTGCTTGGATTATAGTAGTATATATATATACTATATAATTCGTTCAAATGAGAATTATGACAGTATTTTAGTTACATTTAGCACATACACTTGAACAAACATAAACTAATACTGACACAGAAAAAAAATTTGCTGAATATAGACCCAAGATATCTTTGAGAAAGGGACAAAGTCAAGCAATTTATCCGCAATTAAAAATCAGTAGTTGTTCTTTCTTACCATTACCAGCCACTACCATCTTTCCCTTATCACAGTCCCTGTCGACTCGGCAGTGGCCATCCAGCACTTTGGGACTCTGGGAACAAATGTCAAAGGAAAAGAGCAGAGGTTCAAGACTTTTACACTTTTACACTTTTAACAGCAACTCCACTTTTTCAAAAGTTGGATAAAAAATCTTTTAGCAGCGAGCTTGATTCGGTAATCAGGTGTATTGCAATTCACTGTAAGATACAAACACCTGGACTTTATCCATGGTATGGTAAAGCTAAAGTTTTTGTATTTTGTAATTTAAAAAAAAAAAATTTGTATCATAATTTTCACTCTTGAGCATCATTCTTACTTTGTACTTTTTATCTGATAGATACGGATTTCCATATGTATCACTGTTACTTTAGAAATTAAAATTTTATGAAAAGGGGTGTAACATTCATAGATTTCATGGACAGAAACATTGTCTAACAAAATAATTACATAAGGTCAACTACTGTATTTGAAACTCTGGGGTCCTGTTAATAGTGAAGAACACTTTCAGATAAAGATGAGAGATTCTAGCAACACTGTAAATATGGAAGTAAACATGTCGTTAGTGGCTGTTTATAAGCACCTGGGAATGAGCGCTGGGAACTGCAATTGGTGAAGTCTGAAACGTATACAAGAGCAGTGTTTTATGGCTGTGCAATGCTTGTACGGGCTCTCTATTCTTCTTGGCTGCTGACCAAGAGAGGCTGAGTTTACATACCAGGAACCCTCTGGAAATTTGTAGCTAAAGATAAAGCTGAGGGGAAATGATGAACAGGATAACTGACACACACACATACACAAACTCATAGAAAGTAGAGGGGGGTGTCAGCCTTTGTTAAAAGTTAAAAGTCTTTTGTTATGACTAACACTGAAGAAAATGTGGACCAGTGCTCTCCTGGAAGTGATGGCATTGCCACCATATACCAGCCATGTGTTGTCAAAAATCAGGGACAACAGATCAGCCATAGTTCTTCTTACTACCTGTTTCTCTGTTTACTGCTTTTGTTGAATTTATATAAATTATGAATCTTGATCATCCTGCGATATTGTGCTGATTTGAGGTGCTTCTGCTAGTAGATGTCTCTGAATTGTCTCTCCAGTTACCTGAACCTAGAAAATATCATATGAGCAAAGAGAGGCTTCAGTTAATGTATGATTTTCAATCAGCTCTACTATCACAGGACAGGTCATTTCCAGCTCCTCTCTAACCTCAGTCATACATGGCCTACTGTATCTCTGAGACATGGCTGACTGGAATAGTTTCCACATGATCAGACGTCAAACAGTGGAGAGTAAATAAAATAACTTTAAAATAAACACAGTTAGTCAGATGCCTTGAAACTGAGTTTGAGTGGAGTTTGCGTAGAGAACACAGTGTCTAAACGGCACATCCTGCCCTGCAGCTAGCTGGTACTCTTAACAAAAACCTCACTAGTATTCCGACATCAAATATGATTGTCTCAAAAATCCGTGTGGTGCATCCTGGTGACTAACTGCTAGAAAGAGGCAATGGGAAGAAGACATGAACGCATGTCCAAATAACAACAGCATCAACACTGAAAACAGAATCTCTTACTTGCCCTCAGGAGCAAGCAAAGTTAATTCCCTAAAACAATCATACTGCTAATAAAACAGGTATTTTTGGGATTGATTATCTGTCTATGTTAATCGTTTTGGGTTATGTATTGTAAAATGTCTTTTTGCATATTATAAAAGAAGAGAATACTGGACCATAAGTTCAGGTTTCTCTTTGTTAAACTCAGTTCGACTGAATTTACCTCACTTTGGATTTGACTACTACACTGTTACACTGCAAAATGTATTTGTCAAATTATGTACCACATTGCATAAAAACTTGATCATCAAATAATAGTGATTTACAGTAGATATCATTCATTATGACAGCTTCTATTACAGTCACAGAGAGTACCACAGGGGTCTAACATACAGTCAGTGATTTACATTTAAATCAACTCTACAAAATATTCTTACCTCAGCACAGTATCCCAGCTTCTGGTTTGGCGTCTCTAAGAAATTGGTTACAACAAACAGAACAGCTTCACCCTACACGTAGAGGAAACACACACTGTAAATTGGACTTTATATGGACATCATGTCATGATGACCCCTGCTGCCTGCCTTTCTCCCTCCTCAGCCCTTAGTCCTTAGTCGACTGTATTGTTTTATGTAATACCCACATGAGAGGGCTGCATTTTTTCATGCAGGGCAACTGTTGAGACGTTTAGTTTGCTACCACCTGTGTGTGGATGCCCTTTCTCCTAGTCTTTGTTCTTATTCTAAATAATGTAGCTGGCTAAAGATGAAATTTCAGTTTCTAGTAATGGCCTGATTGTCTGCACATACTGCGTAAATGTTTTCACCTGTGGTGGGATGACGTAATCCTCCGGTCCCCACACCAACAGACCAGACTCAGAGGTGTTAGTCACTGAGACTCCCTTTAGTTTAGTTATGACAGAGCTCTGTATGGCCTCATCTGTCTCCTGGTAGCCTTTCTTGCTTACGAAAACCCACCTGTGGATGAGAGCAACTCTCAGAATAAACAGGTGGTTGACTCTTAACACCCACAAAGGTTGCATGATGTGAAAATTTAACAGCTTAAAGATGTGTTATTTTAGTTCTCAGATTGTTTGTGTGAAACATGCAGTGTTTTTCGGTATCTCAGCAAAGATAGTTTTTTTGTGATATCACTATAGTCATAATATTCTTACATGGAGTTAATAGCATTGCTGTGATACTGTTGCATCATATCAAGCATGGAATAGGAAGAAAATGTAAATTTATATTTTTATTCTTATATTTTCTGTATTTTATACATTAAGTACTTGACTGACTTCTGTTCTATAAATGTAATACATGACTACAATTTATTTCCTGTGTTAGGTCTGCTGTAGGTTTTTTATTTATGGCTTTTGCTACAGGGCACTGAACAAGGCACTGAGTAGGCTACTTTGTACCTACTGTATCTGTGATCTAAATTGGCCAATAAAATAAGGCTCTATTAAGGATATTAGTGGCAAGCTGGTCCCGTCACTTGGTCCTCTATAGCACCAACAATATATATAATGTATAATAATTACAGCCCATTAACTTTATCAAGCCTTGAAAACATCTCCATGGTCTGTAACTGAACGATGTAGGTGTAGTAGGCTATCTGTTAGTCTTTAATCAGTGACCAATATGTTTATGTAAATGTTACATTTATTAAGTAATTTATTTATAATAGGATATACAATTATCAGTAGGACTAGGGTCAATATAAACTCACACTAGGGACTTAACTCAAAGACATAAACTTCTTTTCTAAATGTTTTTATTGTGATGTCATTTATAGGCTCTAGTTTGTCACATGGAAGGAGGTAAAGGGTAAAAAAAAGAAATTCACTTACCCAATAATGTAACCGATGATAGATAACTGAATAACTCTGTACAAAACCCCAACTTTCTTATTTTTGGCGACAATATATTTTTCCGTTTTGTAGTCAAATAAGGAAAGAAAACGTCCTTTCAAACAACTCCCGGCCATCCTGCAGCAGTGTGCGGCCAGTGCAGCACAGTCTGCGGGAGGAGGACACCCCACTCCCCCACTCCCCCACCTCCCATGAACAATCACCGTCAACATGCACAATATCCGGTTAAGACTTTCGAAATAATACTGGTCTTCTCTCACTGAGGACATATGCAGTGACATCCGGTTTCTCACGGACACACTTCTGTTTTGATGAATACGCTCATTTGACCTGAAACGATAAAAAATGCATCGTTCGAGTCTTTTCATTAAAAAACAACAATTGTCAATCTCATGGTTGCGCCAAACGAAAAGGCCAAGGGGTCGTCAAAGTCAATAGAACAGCTGCATCATCTGAGCTCTGCAGTTATGTATCAGGGGCAAAGCCTGACATTGAATTCAGAGCTGAGCCCCAACTTAAGTCGATATTCAGGGGCATTCTCCGCGGGGAACTTCTTTCCCCATTCAAACATCAGACATTGCATTATTTACTGTATCAAGCCATTTGTACATCATTTGGGGGAAAAACATGATAGTTTCCCAGGGGAAAAAAATCTAATCTAATCTAATCTTGAATCTAATTGTTCTCTGTCTCCATCATTCTGAAACCACAACACAACAGATTTTGACAATGAATAATTTTCACTACTGCCATTTAAAAAGAGGCAAAAATTATCTGATGTTACAATTTGATGTCATGTAAAAGACATAGGCGGGGAATGAATTTGGCATAAGCGGCATCACTAATCTTGACACCTTTTTTAGTAACACTATGCTGGAGTAGAGCTCACAGACTTAATGTATAGATTTTTCATTCATTGAACACCCACATGAGTGTGTGAAATGAAAATGCAAATTGGATAACAGTATTTTCTTTTTAATTGTCTTTACTTTGCTGGACTGAAGAGCAGCAGGAGAACAGGTGTGCTAGCAGCTCACAGAGGTGTCTTGAGTGTTCATTGTTCTGTGTCCTGAGCTCATTCTCTTTTTGCCCTTCCCCTGAGCTGGTTCCCTCTGTAATTTCACCTTTGTTCCTGAGTGCGTTGAGTGAGATTATTTAACTATATTTCCTCAAGTAGTGTTTATTTTGTCATTAGGTAGTACATCTAATCTCCTTGGTTTGTTCTCACATGACTATATATTTAGAGTGCGAATGTATTGATGTGCTGATTTTGATTTAGAATTGTTTGTCTCTTTATTCAAGACAATATGATAGAATTTGACCTGTGTGTACGCTTTCTTTCATTTGTAAAAATATAGCACTTGGCTGTAACCACACCTGACTGACTGCAAGCAAAAGATTCAATCCTTTCAAATGGAACCCGCTGACTGCTTCACCTGCTTTGCTCATATTCATAAAGTCAAGTCCAGTGTAATCCTAGAGCACATACATGTGTGAAAAATTACATTGCTTTACAACTACAAACTTTGGAATTATTTGTGAACATTACTTTACAAGCTCAAAATTATTTTGACCGTAATTGTGAATCTAACATCTAAACATGAACAATGTTATTACCTATGTTAATATTTTCCTTTACTTATTTATGTCATCTCTGACTGGATATTTACTGTAATGCATATGGATCATTGCTAGTTGTCGTTCCCTTTATGCTAATCACCAAAACAATAATTATACACAGCTCGGGATGAGGAGTACTATACAGCCTAATGAGATGGCATTATGGGAGGTGCAGGATCAAGTCTTTTTTGTGTTTGATGCATAGAGAGTAAAAGTTAGCATATCTCTGCCTCTGCTTATTTTTTATTTATTTTTTAATCTTTTAAGTCCCCCAACTTTATGGAAGTGTAATATCAAACTGAATTCTCCTTTAATTACATAATACACCTTGTACATATTTCTTGAGAGTATTAATTTCAATCTTAACTTTTCCACACTTTTCGCAAAGTAGTCCAATACCATGGTGAATGTAAAAGATAAAAAATTTATATCAAACGCAATGAGATATCAAAAGAAACTCCCAGCAGTATGTTACCGCAACACTGCAGATGTGTAGCTTTGAGTAATGAAAGAAGTTACATAGACATAAAAATGGCAATACCTTCATGACATTTTCTTCCACTATAGCACTGGAAATTGGCTATTAGAAGCATGAGTATTTCTATTTAATCAGAATTTCATTCGAAATGTACTTTTGGGTTAAAATATCAGTATTTAGTTTGAATTACAGGGTGAGATGTGGATTTAAGGCAGGACTCACCGTAAAGTCATAAAATTGAGGTTAAATTGTGCTGCTTTGGCTTTGATATTAGCCTAGGTAATAGTAAACCTTCTTATTTAACTGCTTTCATCACACAGCCTCCTTTTCTGGAAGCCCCTGCATGTTTCAACAGGAAGTGGTCTGAAGGCAATGTCATGTCACAGCTTTTTTAGCCTTCATTTACCAACCAACTTATTAATTGATGTGAATTTGAAGTTCATATTTGACATGATCACCATACAGTTTGAAAAGAAAATAGCTACATAAAACATTTGGCTTCTCCATTGTTAAATGGGATCTTCACTGGTAAATGTGATCTAGCTGCTCATGTGAAACTGAAACAGTAAAGCATTTCCGTAAATAACAAAATGAACTGTGATGGTCTTGTGGTTTTGTCCCATGATGCTTAGAGGGGTTAACATGCAGCATTATCATAGTACTGTTCACAGTGTGAGGAGCTGACAATGAATGCTGACAAGTGGATTTTCCCTTTAGCCGTGTGCTTTATGTGTGTGTCATCAATTGGTAAGTCCTTTTCAGAAATTAGAGAATTAAATATTATTTGTATTAAGACATTCAATACATAAAACGCCTCTTTCGCTAATTTAATTGTTTGATCATACTTTTTTATTTCACTTTAACTCTGATGAGGTCAAATTTACAAGGATAATTTCTTTTCAACCTGAAACTGTGTGCCCTTGGCTCATTATCTGTGTACGACATGTTAGATAAAAAAATAATTTAAAAAAATTGAGTACACAGATGCTATAATACCCCCCACACAACTCCTGCTACATTGTTACAATCCGAGCACTGAGAAGCATCTGCTCTCCTACTTTCCCGCTCGCTTTTCCCATCTGTTGTGTGGGAACCTTCACTGTGTTTTTCCAAAACTTTTAACATTTCCCCGGACTGTACCTCTCACACATACACATCGCGGGAGGGGCAAAACAGCTAAATAACTACATCACAGTATATAGGAAATTTCAACCTCAATCCTCTATAAGCTAAAAAGTCTGCTCAGACGGCCTTGAAGCTAATATTGGAAGCGAGTGAGACACATAGATGGGTTAGGGGTAGCGATCGATTATTTTAGGTGTTGTGCGTTTCATCAACAGCGACTAAATCAGTGTACATTTAGTTTTTGTATTGTGTCTCTATTTGTTGTAAATCATCTGCATTTGCAAATTATTTTTGAGACATTTTTGAAAGATGTATTTCATAGTCAGTGACTAAAACAAACTAGGTTTGGGTCTTGTGTTTCTATTGTTTGTGTAAAAATAATAAAATCAATGGAAACATTGTTTCATTTCAGGTTTCATTAGGATTTTTTATGTAATTTCTTATTTCTGTATTGCTTTTAAAATCCCAATAATGTCAATTTGACCTGAACAGTATCAAAGGGTCCAAAAAGTGAACATAATATCACAGTTAATACACATTGCTCATTAACTAAGATGATAGCTTAAGAGCGTTTGTAATTCATGTTTATCATTTTCATATTTTTTTTATTTTTCTGCTTATAATTGTAATCCAGTTACATTTACTTACTTCTTTAGCATGAGCTCAGTGACCTTAAACCTGAAAACTGCTCCTTTTTTCTCTCATCCCGTTAAGATGACCTACACAATATGGAATCTTGTGAGCCTCTGGAAGTTTATGAGACGTACACAGTCAGCGCTCCACTTGGCTCATCTGTGCTTCTTCCATGCAACTTTGCAAACAGCAGCCTCAATTGGGTGTCATGGGCCCACACTCCTGCGATGGAACTGGTGCATCTCAATTCTAAAGGGAGTATCAAGTTCCTACTCCCCAAAAGGGGCCGGGTGAAAGCTTTTCCAAATCAGGGCTCAGAAGGAAACTACTCCATCTGCATTGATGAACTTCAGTACTCTGACCTGGGTTGTTATTACTGTAAGCAGGGAACTGACTGTCTTCAGGTGGAGTTGGTTGCTGCAACAGGTAAGTGGATTTCTGTTTGGAGGTTATAAGGTAATATTTTCTGAAGTCTGAGCAGCAGGCTGTGAGAGAGACATGGGGCCTCTTCCTTTCTATGGTCACAAACTTCATAGGCCAAACACATGGGGGCGAACAAACGATGAGTTTCCTGTGAAAGGTGTTGTTGTAAAACCACATCTTATCTTGCAGATACACTGAGAGGAGAAATGTTGCTACTGATTTACATCTGTGTTGGCGTGGCTGCTTTCATCCTGCTGAGCATCTGCAGTTACCGTGAGTACCTGCCCTGTCTCACACACTCACCCCACAGCTGTCGATAGAAGAAAGGTGTGTGGTGCATTTGATTGCTCGATAAATGGATTGGTGATTGGTTATTTTAAAACTGTTTGTTTTTATTTCAGTATTCTATAAGAACAGATCACAGGACAATACCAACAATCCTGTAGGTGCTGATATTGTAGGTAAGAAATTTCATAATTTACCATTTTCATTAGATCCATCTTCTGTGTATAGATCTGTGCTCTCTGAGTGCCCTTCTAGTTTTGTTAAAGGATTGCTCACTATTTAAGTCAATCCTTCTCCTTCTGCTTGAGGGACATACTGTATGTCTAGATGTTTAATCAGTCATATGCAAAATACTTTTGCTATTATGTGTGAAAGTATTCATTCAAATTGCTGCATGTAATGTCCCACTACAGGTGCCAGTGCTCCACCAGCAGTAATGGGAACAGTGCCAGTCCATGAACAGCAGAGAGGTAATCTACAGTTAAAAACATACACTCTCTCTCTCTCTCTCTCTCTCTCGCACTCAACTGTATACTATGTAGTACATGTGATGCACTATCCACAATGTGTTTCTTTTTCCTACAGGAGCAGGCAACAGTAATCTTGTTTATGGTGCGTTCACACAGCTCTTCTTCCATCCATTGATTCACCTTGCTAACCTAAAATGTTAATGTACATGTCAATATTTTTAATTGATTTTCTTTTAAATATTAGAGAACGATGATCAAGACCCAGCCAACCAGCCGGGTGACCCCACCAGACACCCTCATAGTCTACCAGGATATCTGCATGATGTGGACAGGAATCTACCCACTCAAAGCACGAGTGGGATCCATCCAAACTTGAACCAGTGTAACTTTGAAAGGGCGCAAAGTCAAAGAACAAAACACAGATTTCATAGAGGTGCTTAATAATAAACATAATTACCGAAGGTTGTACATGTACACATAACATAACATGAGATATATTTCAAACTGGAATAACTTCTTCCCTCACCTCTCCAGAACTCATCAACAGATTACGACAACCAAGTTTCAGTCGACATTATTATGGTAATACAAGCATTTCTCTTTAATAATATTACATAATTTCAATGCTGCCTGGTTCACTTATACATTTAATTACACAGTTAACCAAGGTGAAATCAGGCAACAAGACATGTCTACTCAGGCGAAGAATCCTCACCGAGGTATTTCAATTTTGATTTGTCTTTTATCAATATCTAGTATCTTTTCATTACTCACTGTTGCGTTCTGTTTTGCAGCAGGTTTTGGGAAGAAGAAAGCCAAAGAAAGTGAGTGTTGACTTCATCTTTGGGCATGTTCGTGATGAAATAATACTGTGCACTGAATTGCTGTCCCACTTCTTTGTTGTTTTGCTGTTTCCCTCTCAGATCATGAATACAATAACCCGATTTACAACAGAAGCACAGACCAGCTCAACCGTCTGTAGAGAACAAGGACTTTACACAGCTGACAGACATTTTACTGATTATTCATTTTCCTGTTTACTGTTTGGAAAAAATCATCAAATAAAGATCTTTACACAAAACAAAGCTTAAAAAATCAGTTGCATGTTTCACAATCCAAAAATTAATTCTATCTCAACAGTTCAGCAATGAAGTTCAGAGATGCCATAATGTATGCAGAAGGAGAGTATGCAAGTATGTCTGTGCAAACGTGTATGTTACGTGTGTTTTAGGTACTTTTGAAGATTATAAATGGTTTTTACATTATTAAAAGTTTGACTTTCAGATCCATTATGAGACTTTTGTGAGTTCCTCGGCTGATCGTAAATAAAAACAAAACTACATTCACACCTACAGATAGTTTCTGGTTAACCTGAATGTCTTTTAACTGGAGGGAAGGTCCCAGAAACCAGTTGATTTGAACACAGGGCCCTCACATGGTACTACAGTACAACTACACCACACTGCCGGCTCACTGGTTTGTATGAGTTTTTGAGTTGCTTTTGGTCTCATGGGAGTCAGCCAATTAAGCCAAATGAGAAGCAGCTGCTCCACCTGCGACCAACGATGGAGACCTGCAGTACACACTTTGTTTGGTTGACACTTATTTCTATATCACTGTTTCTTTTCAAATGTGAAGCCCATGCTGGCTCAAAACAATTTCAAGCAAGAGATTATAACACTATGAATAATAATACATTGCTCTGCCGTGATGGGTTCATGTCCGTCAACATATCAAAGGTGCAATTTGCTGATCTTCCTTTCACCATTTATGTTCAAGGTAAGCCAGACTTAAATATATCGTATCCACATATCGTTGAAGTGGTTGTGTTTGCTATGATCCTGTTTGTGCTCACATTTACACACAGATGAACACGGTGGATATTATCAAGCCATTGCAATAGCAAAACAGTGCCACTACTTCTTTGGAGGAAGTGACACCTTTATTATCTTAACAGTTGCTTCCCATGGCTGTTTTGTGAAAAGACAAGTAAGCTGAAATGTATCTTGAGCCTGAGCCTGTTTGTGCATTTATTTTTAAAGCAGATATGTGCTTTTTTTTTTTCATCTTCCAATCTGTCTTTACAATTTCGTTCATTAGAAATATATCACAAGTCTGACTGTTGTCATCATGGCACTTGCAGACAGAGGAAGAGTTGAAATTGTCAAGTCAATACCTCTCATCTGTGAAAGGAAAATTAAAGGTAGTAATTCAAAGTGTGCAGTTATATTATGCTTCAGAAATCTGTTTGTAATTAACTCCCAGTGTGCTTTCTGCAGAGGCAAACAAAAAGCATTATCCACCAGTGCCAAGACAATTTTTCTGCAACAGGGATGGGTTCAACATTACCATCCTCCAGAATGCCACAGTCCCACCTCTGAACCTGGATGGAGTCTGGATCCCCTCAGGTCAAAGCCACAATTGTAAACCCAAAAGCAGATCCAATAATGCTGTCACTTTCAGCTTTCCATTCACTGATTGTGGTGCTCAGTCCACGGTAAATGTAAATCAATTACATCACATCCCCAGTCTTCAGGCAGAGTCATGTGGTATTTTTTGTGACTAATATAGACCAGGTTTGGTTGTTGTCTTGCAGGTAGCAGATGGGATTATAATCTATTGGGTCAACATTGAGGTGAAACAACATCTGCAGAACAGCTCCATATTTCGTGACACTCCTTTCCGGTAAGAACAGGAAAATGTTACATTTTTCTTGCTTTTTGAAGCTACTAGAAACTAATTCTAATTTCCTTTTGATTTTCAGTCTTACCGTTCGTTGTAGCTTTGCATTGGCTCAAATAACTCAGCTGGGCATTGAGGTTCAGAAAGAAAAATCTGAGAATTCATCAGCACTGAAGAGCAAAGGAGTACTAAGGACTGGAATGAGGTTTGCCAAAGGTCAAGTTTATATACTGTGTATATATATTTTGTTTTTTACTTTCCATCTTTCCCAAATTTTTGCGTTTATTGTATGGATTTTATTCTTTTTTTACATTGATGTCTGTATGCATGTTTCTATTCAAAAAGATCTTCAAAACCATAGAAGGTGCCATCAAAATTGAAGGTCCAGTTTTATAATTGGAGCATAGTGAAACCTTCTTGTTGCCAAATTTGTAGAATTTTTTTTTTTTTTCCTACGCTTTTATCCACAGATTCCTCTTACAGGTCTTTCTATTCCTCTCGAGACCCTCCAACAGTGACTGAGCTCGGCCAGCCTGTGTACGTGGAGGTGTTTGTTCTCAAACATGAGGACAAGGACTTGGTTCTGCTGCTGGAGGACTGCTGGGCCACACCGAGTGAAGACCCACATAACCCACAAAGATGGAACCTGCTTGTTAAAGGGTTTAACACATAGATGTGACCTTTTTCTGAAATTTAAAAAAGAAGAGTATGATTTGATGCTAATCTGTGCGTCCAATCCAGGTGTCCTTTCACTGGTGATAGCCACAGAACTGCAGGGTTGCCAGTTGTCTCCAGCAAGGACCTGATGTATCCCTCTCTTCACAAATGGTTTGTGGTCAAACTGTTCTCTTTTGCAAAGCCCCCAACATTTGAAACCCAGGTATGTAAGAGATCTAGATAGTAGTATGTTTGGTATTTATTTTTAGCCTTGGTGCATTTTTTATTATGGGGATGTTTTCCTACAGGTATATTTCCACTGTGATATAGAGCTCTGTAAAGGACTAGACTGCTTACAGTCCTGCAGCAATGGTAAGTGGAGCAGCAGCTTATTTATCCCTTTTATGAGGACGCTCATCTAATGATTCTGTCTTCTGTGGTTGTGGTTGATTTACACACTCACTTGCATGCAACAGTGTAAACGATGGTCTCCGTTTTTTCCTGTCTTCCAGGCGGGCGTAAATTAAGGAGAATCACACCAGGGCCAGGACAGAGGATTCTTTACAGTGTTGTCTCTAGTGGTCCTCTTCTTTATCTAATGTAAATAACCAGAAAAAGGACAACTACTTCAAGTCATTTTGGAACCACCAAGATTGAGAACAGTTCTGCGAAGAACTGACCATGATTTGTAGTGAAAATAAATCTATAAATTAGTATAATGGCCTTGATTAAGCGTTCTTCACATCATTTTCATTATCATATCATATCAACTCAACTCGTGTTGATTTTATCAAATTAACCTTGAATAATGCAGGTTGTCAGGAGGGTCCACTTTTAAATTCAAGGTTCCTGTCTTAAACCCCGCCTGGGTTAGCAGTGTTACCACTTGATATTAAAACTGGGTGTGTACTACCCTGTTATAAGAAGTAACTTTTGGAATTACATATCTTAACTACATAAAACCTAAAGCAGGGGTTTGGGTGTTACTCAGACAAGCGATCCAGATAACTTGATTCTAACATGTCAGGTCTTAACAGATCAGGACAAAGGCAGCTTCCTGGAGAAAAGTTGTTTGGTTGTTGCTGTGTAAAATGCACATCTAGATTCTGTACACCTTTTTACGGTGCTGACAATAAAAAAAAAAAAAAAAACCATTCCTGCAGCAAAATTATTTTGGTCTTTTTTTTTTTATTCGATGATGATATATAGTGGGAAATGGCTTGCAGTATTTAACTTAAATAATGTCTTTTGGTGGTTTTTGCTGATCCCTGTGACTGAATTTCAAAAACAATAAATATTATTTGATTTGATTTAATTGAAATTAAAAAACCGACTCGATTAACCTACTGTAAACTTTTCCCAGCCAGACTTTTATTGTGGTGGAGGACCTTGGGTCACATGCTCACAAGTTGACCAATAGAAACGCGGAATGGGTTAGTTTGCGGAAGTGTTTTAGCCAATGTGTCATATGTGAAACGACAGAGGTGCGTTAAATGGTGTTTTGTACAGTTTAACGCTGTTTATGTCGCACAAAGAGCAACTAAACTGTTCAGCGTGATTAGCGTCAGTATTTCTTTCGCCTGTTTAGCTGCTCACACTGATATCTGCCGGTACAGCTGCTCAGAGTTGTCAGGTATGTCCAAATCAACGAGATGGGATTCAAAAGACAACGAGTCCAAACACCTGCCGATCTACCAGCACAAAACCAAGTTAGTTCAGGCTGTCAGAGACAACACTTTTCTGGTTGTCACCGGTGAGACCGGCAGCGGGAAAACCACACAACTTCCACAGTACCTGTATCAAGCTGGTAAGTTGTAATTCTGCTGTCCTATCCCTTGTAATATGAAGTTAAAAACACCGTTAAACACAGCAGTATGTAGCTTTTACCTTGTGTGAAGTTTGTGAGGTTAGGATACAAATGTGACTGTGAATTCAGAAGATGAATCATTAGTTTTTCTTTTTTTAAAAAATAGGTTTTTGTAAAGATGGCAAAATTGGCATCACCCAGCCCCGCCGGGTGGCTGCCATCACAGTGGCCCAGAGGGTAGCCCAGGAGATGCAATGCACCCTGGGTAGAGATGTTGGCTACCAAGTCCGTTTTGATGACTGCACATCACAGGTGAGAGACAGATATGAGACATCCCTGCAGAATATCCAGTGTATTAATGTGAATATCTGATAAAAATTGAGCTGTTACTGTGTTTGAGCCAGGACACAGCGGTGAAGTACATGACGGATGGCTGTTTGCTCAGAGAGATCCTGGCAGACCCCGGACTTTCTCAGTACAGTGTTGTAATTTTGGATGAAGTCCATGAACGCAGCCTCAACACAGTGAGTCAATATATTCACTGTATGTCATTAACACTTATAGTTCCTGCACTGTGCTGTTAATATACATACATCTTGTCAACATCCAATAAACCAAAAACTGTTTGTTCTTTTCCTCATCCTCCATCACACACATTGAGCAATTGTTTGTATTTGTTGCAGGATATTCTCCTGGGTTTATTGAAGAAAATCTTCACCAACCCTGCTAAAGCCACAAAGGGTCGATCTTTTCCTTTGAAGGTGGTGGTGATGTCCGCCACCTTGGAAACTGACAAACTTTCAGCCTTTCTCGGCGACTGTCTCGTCTTTGCTATACCTGGAAGGACTTTTCCTGTAACCTGCACGTTTGGTTCTGCTGTAGGACCGAAAGACATTGAAAGCACTGGTTATGTAAAGGAGGTACTGGGTTTTTTGTTTGTTTGTTTGTTTGTTGATTTTTTAATCTTAAGAATGTTACAGGAAAAGCCTTTTACTTTAGAGCTTGATGCATTTTGTTGCTATTCATTAATTTGACAGCCTTTGCTCCACAGGTAGTGAAAATGGCCCTTGATGTGCACACCAGTGAAATGGCTGGGGATATTCTTGTGTTTTTGACAGGTTTGTTACGATTATCAAGCTCTAAAATCAGATTATGCCGCAACACTGACAAAATCTGCCACATTAATTCTCCTAATGTTCGACAGGTCAGTCAGAGATTGAGCGTGCCTGTGACTTGCTGTATGAAAAGGCAGAGTCTATAGACTATCGCTATGATGTACAAGACCAAACAGTGGAGGGCCTTCTCATTTTACCCCTTTATGGATCCATGCCTACGGGTAAACACATACAACAGCTGTTACATCTTATTGCAAGGTAGATTTTCCAAATTGAAATTAGTTTCTGATTTTTTTTTTTTGGTCTTGTAATAGATCAACAGAGGCAGATCTTTCAGCCACCGCCCCCAAGAATAAGGAAGTGTGTAGTGGCCACTAACATTGCAGCAACATCTCTCACCATCAATGGTATAAAGTGAGTGAGGCCTGTTTTCCCTGGTTTATCATATACATTCATGAAATTGTGACATTAAATCAACTTCACTGAAATGTTTCACTACAAAACACATCATCATGCCATTCTTTCCCTGTATAGGTACATCATAGACAGCGGGTTTGTGAAGCAACTCAACCACAACTCCAGGGTGGGCATGGATATCTTGGAGGTGGTGCCAATATCAAAGTGAGTCCCAAAAAATGTAAAATGTCATCTCAAACTTGCAAATAGCTTTGTTTTAGTCATTTTCCTACTAACACTCATGCTACTAAGAAAGCTTACCAACAGAGATTTGGATGGGATTTTTTGGGGGGATTTTCTGTGATTAGGAGTGAGGCTCAGCAGAGGGCAGGCCGAGCTGGAAGAACCTCAGCCGGGAAATGCTTTCGAATCTATACCAAGGAATTCTGGGAAAAGAGCATGCCCGAATATACAGTTCCAGAAATTCAGAGGACAAGTCTGACTGCAGTGATACTCACACTCAAGTGCCTGGGCGTCCATGATGTCATTAGGTAAACTGGTACCCATTCTGGTCTGTTTGCTTTCTTAGAGTTCATAATTTCTGCACGCACCTTTTAAGCATCTTCAATAAAGAGTTAATTTCTTTTAAGGTTTCCTTACCTGGACTGTCCAGAGGAGAGGTTTATTCTAGAAGCACTAAAACAGCTCTATCAGTTTGATGCTATTGACAGGTGAGTGGTTATACCTGTCGACCAAGTGTTTGGTTCTCGAAGCACAGCAGAGGTGGGTTAAGTAGTTCTTGCTGACTATTCATGGGCTCTATGTGTCTGGTGCGTGGGCTGTAGGAGAGGTAGAGTGACCCGGCTGGGGGAGTTGATGGTGGAGTTCCCGCTGCACCCAGGCCTCACCAGGGCTGTGCTCAAAGCCGCCTCGCTCGGCTGCCAGGACTTGCTGCTCCCTGTGGCTGCCATGCTGTCCGTGGAGAATATCTTCATCAGGCCAGGTCAGAAATGTAGCTTTTTGACATATTGGGAATCTTTAAATAGAACTAAAAGTGTGCTTGTAATTAAAGACTACAAAGGTAAAAAATATTCCTGTTATCTGTAATACTCAGTGTTTATTAAGACAATTGTCTAATAGCAGAGATATTAAACTTGTCTCTAAAGTGCAACTGACTATATATATATTTTTTTTTCTATTTTATTTATTTTTATTTACTGATGTGTTGGTTTATTGATAAATTTAGTCCCTGTGCCAGGAAATGGCATATGCAGAGGAGTAGCTAAAGACGTCAGCTCTGAGCTCACTTGGCTTTGACTAATGCCATGCTTCCTGCAGGCCACCCTGAGAAGCAGAAAGAGGCAGATAAGAAGCACAGAGGGCTGGCCAACAAAAGCGGCAGTATGAATGACTTTGCCACACTTCTGAGTGTGTTTCAGTCATGCAAATCCAGGTACAGTACTTAACTGATTACTGCTGCAAGATGAACCTGTATTATTATTATTTTTTTTTTTTTTTTTTTTGTACAAATAAATTTCAAAGTTAGTCCATCAGTTGCCATGTATGCAAGACCTGATGTGATGATATTATCACTCTGTAGTGACAGACCATCAGTGTGGTGTAAAGACAACTGGATCCACTGGAGGGCGCTGAAGTCGGCCTTTAGTGTGGAGACTCAGCTGCAAGAGATCCTCCTCCGCCTCCAACAGGTACAGTAGTGTACAGAGCTCATTTTCACACCACTGACTGTAGCATGTTGTGTATCCATGCTCTGTTAAATGTTTCAAATCAGTGTAAACTTTACAGCTGCACTGTACAATGTTGTCTAATCATTATTAGCGGTCACAGATCATTGTTGCTCCTCACATTAATTTGTTTGCCAACACACTGTTGTGCTAATTAATATGACTGTCATTATTTTTTTTGCCGATCCACCCTCTTGCCTTCCAGAAGAGAGATTTCCCTGTAGAAACATTTGATGGCAACAAGAGTGAACTCTTCAGGCGATGCCTGTGCACGGGCTACTTCACCAACGTTGCCAGAAGGTATCATCAAGGTTCATTTGAAATTATCCATACTTAACTCCTTAGTTTTTGTGAGATTTTGTGCTGGCTGTGAATGATGTTCAGTTATTTTTTCCATCCCACATAGGTCTGTGGGAAAGGTATTTTGCACAATGGATGGACATGGATCCATGGTTCACATTCATCCATCATCATCGGTAAATGTATTTTTGAATTCATTAAAAAAATCTCAATCAAATCAATGAGCCATTAGGTTTGGAACATAAACTGTCATGCTTCCTCTCTAACTTCCCCTGTGATCATGATTCGTTGTTGCTCTAAGCTGTTTGACCAGGAGGCAGAGCTGAACTGGGTCATCTTCCACGATGTGCTGGTGACTTCCCGGGTGTACATCAGGACCGTGTGTCCTATTCGATATGAGTGGGTGAAGGACTTGTTGCCTAAACTCCATGAGGTGGATGTCTATGAACTGAGCAGCGTAGCAAGAGAAGAAGTTACTGACGAAGAGATGATAAAATGGGAGAGCAGGGAAGCAGCCAAAAGACAACCAGGTTTCTGAATAATTAAATGAATATTTATTTGGAAATTGTTATGTTATAGAGCTTAGTGTTTGGTCCACCCAAAGCACACTGTCGATTAACAGGCCATTTTTGCCTGAAATGTTATACTGGGTGAATGAATGGATAAGCTATACTCTGTTTTATAACTTACTAATAAATTACTACTGTTCTTTTTTCAGAGGTTTCTACTGAGGATGTCACAAAAAAGCTGGAGAAGCGAAACAACGAAGCCACTGTCAGTGATGCTCGTGCTCGCTACCTGCAAAGAAAGCAACAAAGGCAACAAAGTAAAGCCCTCTGACAGAAAGCGCTTGCTTTTGAGGACATGTTTCATAATATGTATCACAAAGGAATATTTTGCAAATGACACCTGAATAATAAACTTTTGTTACATTTATAACATTGCCTCTCTCTTGTTTAACCCCATCACTTTACACACAATTGCTGTAGCAGTGGTTGGTTTCATGGGTCTTTGACAAGGTTCACATCTATGGAAAATTGTTGCTTTATTCTTAAACAGTGGGTAGAATAAAAGAAAGCTATTGGTTTAAAGAGGAGGTGGGAACTCTGGTTTAAAAGGAAGACGTTTTCGGGCATTTCTCATTAATTTTTAGACATTTTTGCACTGCCTATCTCTCGGACAATGTGTAATTCAGTAGTGCACAGCTGGGGTGAGGTTAAGGTTACAGTATAGTACTTGATGTACTTTCACACCGACTGTTCAGGTGCAGTGGACCCTCTCTGGCCTCGTACGTCACTTCCTTTTGTGTGCGTCTGTGGGGCTGCTGTACAGTCTGGCTGGGACGGAGGGCTTCCACGCTAAGCAGGCGACTACCCATATTAGACCCACAAAGAGGCGGGTTGTTTTTTTTTTTTTTTTTTATCTACCCAGGATTTGGAAAGTATTTGTAATCGTATTCAACGTAACTATCCATCAAGTTGGAGCTCAGTGGACTTCATTCTGTGGCTGGTTTGCGTAGGCTTCAGTGAGCCACTGCAGCAGCAACTGACCAAGCACGCCGCCGCCACTGCTGTTGTGAGAGAAGAAAACAAGCTCAGCGAGCAGTCCGCTAAAGCTGTGTGATCATTGACAGAGTTCAATACACACAAGCTCCGAGTGATAACTGGTGGGAGCTTTGTGCGGCTCTGAGCCTCCTCAAGTACCAACGGCTGGGTGTATTTTTTTGTCACTGAAGTCGAGGTAAGTAAAAGCCGGGGTAATGAGAAGTAGCGCAAGTGGCTAACTGATATGCTAACTAGCTGTTAGCTTGAAAGCTATTTTGGCTAGCTGCCTTGTTTGGTCGTAATGCGGTCATGGTCAGTGTCCTCACTGCTGTCTGGCGCGCCACTTGGCCAGACTGCCCATCAGCTATTGCTGAAGTGTTGTAGCAATCTATTTATTGTTAAGCTACGATAGAGAAGCTAACGACCTGTCTTGAACTTGGAAGGTAACGTTTGTTGACTTTGCCTCAGTTAGCTAGCCGCTACAACTGAAAAGATGAGGATGGTTTAACGTTACTGTAATGTTTACGTTGGGCAGCTTGTGGTCGTGTTTGGTGCAATGTGTAATTTTATAGACATTAATAGCATAGAATTATCGAGTTGTTTTAGTTTTAAGGTTTGTCGTTTCTTCACATGGTGGTACATGTAAGCCACAAACATTAACGCGTTACTACATATTACTGATGTCGTGTTTCTAAAGACAAATCGATATCCTGTGTACAGTGAAAAGTTGTGCATCTTATTTATTATCTCAAACAGCAGCTACCTATTACTTTGACCATTGAGATAAATAGGTGTACAGCTATAAACAACCCTTGGATGCACCTCGAATGGCCATAAAAAAAGTCTGAAGTCGAGAGAAGCCTTATCTGTTTTTATCTTTGTAAACAAAGCAGTTCAAACAGTCTTTGTTCTGGTGACTGTATGCACTGTAATATTCAACCCCATCACTTTCACTGAAATACTGTGAAATTCTGGTAAACCTATTATCTAACATAAGCTGTTGATTCAGGGCTGACCCTGGATCAGCAAGGCCTCTCCTCAAACATTCAGCAAAAGCTGTGGGAGGTTATTACATTTGACAATAAAGAGCTTTACAGCCAATTTTCTAATTGTTTGATCAATGGTATTGATCCCTCAAATCTTCGATCATTACCTGGCATCACCATAACACCAGGATCAATTATATTTAGACATAACATGAAACTGAGTTGCACAAGATGCAGTGCAGTTTTGATATCTAGCTTGTGGTCATGACAGTCATTACACTAGTCTCAGTTTGAATGTCACTGTCAGAATTATCAGATGGTCACATATAAGGGTTGAGCAGATGTGCAGATTTCAGCAGTTTTCTTTGTTGTGGAGTTGTGTTTCAAGGCAGCAGAGTGCCTCAGAAGGAGAGGAATTATTCAAGTGCAGTGCTGTAGTGACAACACTCAGATAGGCATCAAGAGCAATATACAGAAAGTTTCCTTTGTTATGAGAAATCAGTTTCACTTTGTGTGTTCACCTCCACCTCTCTGGCTGTTGTTTTACTTCCTTTACGCCCTATGTCTTTTCACATTCATTTTTCAGTGTTCCTCTATGCCCAAAAAGACAATTGAGTTAAAAAAAATATTTCCCAAGGCTATGCTCTTTTGTTCGAAGTGAGGAGTTGAATTATAAATAGTCTGAAGTCACCCAGCTGTTTTGCTCACACCTTTACAAGTTAGCAGAGGTTTTTAATTTTTAACAAAGGGTAAAAGTGCACTCATATATTAAGTATTCACTTGACACGCTATAACTTTTGTGATGTTTTTCTGATGTGTGCTGTTTATGGCCCTTCTCACATGACTGTAATTTATATGTTAAAGCTACACCAGGATACAATGGGCATTGTTTTTGTATTTGATGGACAATCTGAGACCCGTGTTTGTATCCTGAATTAACAGTGTCTCTTTCTGTTCCCTTCCTCTAGGTATTATATTATATAGTTGTTTTTTGTATCTGAGCCACTGTCAGGCAGTTGACCAATAGGAGCAGTTTGCACAATTTCCACCAGCTTGTCTGCAGCCCCCTCCCAACCCAGACAGTCTTCTGCCCCAGCATGAATGAAGTCAGTGTTGTGAGAGAGGGATGGCTTCACAAGAGAGGTAAGGGGGCCCCTCGTGTTCACTGTCCATCATCTGAGTCTACATTGTAGTGATAGTCCATCTCAAAATCTACCATTTGAGTATTAAATACTCCCCCCTGTAGGCTTGTGAGCTATCTGTCAAGTTTGTAGTTTTTTTCATCGATTGAGAACAGCAGTGCTTAGTTTAAGAGTAGTCAAACATTAAAACTCTGTTGGCTCAAAAATCTCCACTTGTCTGTGTTTTCCAGGTGAATACATCAAAACATGGCGGCCTCGTTACTTCATCTTAAAGAGTGATGGCTCCTTCATTGGCTACAAAGAGAAGCCTGAGGTGTCCAGTGACCACAGCCTCCCGCCGCTCAACAACTTCTCTGTCGCAGGTCAGCTTTCTGTTCTGGCTGGCAAATTTCAATTCAAGCCTCCAGATTAAATCTGCAAAGTGTTTTTATGTTTTGTTGTTGGTGCCTTCAGTTCTTCTGTGTAAGTTGGTGTGTCTGTGTTTTGTAGAATGCCAGCTGATGAAGACAGAGCGACCCAGGCCCAACACGTTTGTCATTCGTTGTCTGCAGTGGACCTCGGTTATTGAACGCACCTTTCACGTGGACAGCAACGAGGAGAGGTACAAGACATTCATTTCAAGGGTTTTATATTTTACTGGCCCTGTGGTAGAAGTAGCCTTGATTAAAATTTGAGAGTGCCGTCTGTAGGGGGCTTAGACCAGTGCACCTAAAAATTCTGTTTACATGCAAAAACAATTTCTGCTCACACTATAGGACTATGACTATGCCTCCTGCTCCTCATTATCTCTTAAAACAAGGTGTTTCAGCGCAACTTTGTCAAGGCAAACTGTTCATTTTGCACTGCTGCATTAAGATGTCACTTGTTTTATGGTTGGGCACAGCATAAACATACACCACCCCTCTAAAATTATTTGATGACTGAAATTAATTTTAGTGTGTTAGGAGTTAAGAGAAGTTTGAATGATAAAGTCTTGCTTTAATAGAAGTAAGGACAGAAAGACACAACATTTTCACAAAATCAAACAAAGGGCCTAAACAGGCCATTATTCACTACAGGTCATGAAATTCATTTTAGTTTGTGTGAGAAGGAAAGACCATCATGCTCAAAATAGAATTCAGTGCCAGATTAGAACTGATTATTCACCCCTAACCCAAGCAATCGTCATTGAGTTTTGTTTACATCGGCTCTGCCAAGTACCAAATCCCAGCATCCCCTAGCTGAATAGTACAGATTATCCTCTACCTTCTAAACTGAGCTTGCTGTTTCTCCTTTAAGATATGTATTTGGCACATCTAAAACATCTGTCTGAATACAATGAATTCACATTTTGAATACAATTTGTGTAAGAGTAATGTAGACATGGCGCTGGCTATATTTGATAAGTGTAATATGTGTTTTCTTCTGGTTCAGGGAGGAATGGATGAGATCGATCCAGGCAGTGGCAAATAGCCTGAAGAGTCAGCAGCAGGATGAGGAGCCCATGGAGATCAAATTTGGCTCTCCGAGTGACAGCAGCGGCACAGAGGAGATGGAGATTGCTGTGTCCAAATCCCACACAAAAGTGGTCAGTATTTGCACAAGCAGTGCCTGGCAGCTGAGTGTTTGCTGTGTTTGTCCAGCTAAGCTCATCTTTATTGAGCAAGTTGTTCAAACTTTAAGCCTCTTTCTCAAAGCTTTTTTGGTGAAGCAACCTTTAAATGAGTGGAGGGTAGTATTTGTGTGTATATTTTGTGCACTGTGCTGATTCACTCCAAGTGATTTTGAATTGCTCTGGTTTTATAGACATTGTTGGTCTACTGACTGTTCACCGTATGTAGAGATGCAGTATGGAAATAGTATGGAGTTTCATTTTGAATTCTTATTTTGTGAAAAACATTCTTTTACAGCCCTGTCCTTATTTGATTTCCTGCTTCACAATGTATGTGATATTATTCAAATAGTGATCAATGTCTACCGTGGCTACACACCTGTCACCAAGAATTGCCAACGTCTGGTTTTTTTTTCTCATGCAAGAAAATTGTCTTTCCTGCTGCTTTTTCTCAAGTGTTAATTGAAAGTATCAGTTCACTAGTTATAGCTATTTCAGCATGTCACATCATGTCATGCCTCACATGTTGGCATACATCAGATGTAGCACATAAACATCAGCAGTGGCGACAGTACAGTGGGAAGCCACTGACTCATCACAATGCTATTCCTGTATGTTTCAGAGACAGATATTTTTATATTCCATAAGAACACATTAAGTTCCATCAAACTCACAGATGTAACATTCATGGTGTCTTTGAGAAAAACAGGGTATGAGCTCACTCTGGTGTGAAGTTGTATGAATCTTTCTAATAGCTTATCTTTGACCATTGTTCCTACAGACCATGAGTGACTTTGACTACCTGAAGCTGCTTGGCAAAGGGACATTTGGTAAAGTTATCCTGGTGAAGGAAAAGGCCACGGGGATGTACTACGCCATGAAAATCCTTCGCAAAGAAGTCATCATTGCTAAAGTAAGTGCTAATCACATCACAGTATAACCTTCACTTTAAGCTGTTTTAGGACAGCTATATATTGGTATGTGATCTTGCTCTCATTGTATGCTCTGATTATGTCTTTGTGTGTGTATTCGTCCAGGATGAGGTGGCACACACAGTTACAGAAAGCAGAGTTCTCCAAAATACACGGCACCCATTCCTAACGGTAAGTTACCAGTACCTGTATTGCACTAGTAAATGTATTGTGATTAAGGAACCGTTTATTCATTGTAATGCTGTCACAAATTTTCGTTCCTTTTTCTTCCTCGACAGACACTAAAATATGCATTTCAAACACATGACCGGCTATGCTTTGTGATGGAGTATGCAAATGGTGGAGAAGTAAGTTTTTCTCTTTTACCTCTGGGCTACAGTCGTGTCTGCTGTGTAACTATACCTGTGTATGACCATTTAGATTGGGTAATTGCAGCAGGGGTGAAAAACACATTGTTCTGCACCAATTTAAGGTTTTAAGTCCAACTGTTAAACTTTTTGGAAACATCCAAATCAGGTCAAGTTGTGGGCTGAATGTGGGATTTGATGATGCATCAAACTGTTTTTGAAATAAATGATATCAAAAGAGTTTTGAACTTAGTTGTTACACCAATACATTGTAGGGATTGCTTTGGTTACTGCATGTACTCGGCTGGTTGTTAATCCAACAATTCAGATTAAAAAGCTATTTTCTAAATGAAATGACAGAAATGTTTAAAAGTAATTGGAAATTGAAAAGTCACTATAAAAAGTAACTAAGAAAAGGGAAACATAATCAAATTGAGGATTTTTATGAAATTAAAGCTCTCGAGAAACATGGGGATTTGTTCTGTCCCGTAGTCATCTTTACTTTTTTATTCTTTTGCAGCTCTTCTTTCACTTATCACGGGATAGAGTATTCACAGAAGACAGAGCACGATTCTATGGTGCAGAAATAGTGTCAGCACTGGAGTACCTACACTCACGCAATGTAGTTTACAGGGATTTGAAGGTAAGGTGTCTGCTCGCTCTGACTGTTTAGTATTGATATATTGCGAAATAGACTGGATACATATTGTTCAATATGCTCAAACCTTAGATTGTTATACAATCAACATTTTCACTAACTGATGCAGATACAATGCTCAGTCCTACTCTTCAAGTTTCAATAATGTACTGTAACCATGAGCACTTTCCAATGTATTCCATTTTTAAGTCCTTTTCCTGTCACAGCTGTCAACTAATTTGACTCTAATTTGAATCTTTCCCGGCACAGCTGGAGAACCTCATGTTAGACAAGGACGGCCACATAAAGATAACAGACTTTGGGTTATGTAAAGAGGGGATCACAGATGGCGCCACCATGAAAACCTTCTGTGGAACCCCGGAATACCTGGCACCAGAGGTAACACCACAATGGCTGTGGACTCTGACATCAGTAGGATTTGTGACCACGATTATGTAAAGAAGCTCTGATGTCACAGGGCTGGATGAGCACATGATGGGAAGTAGTTGTAGTTGTTGATTAGGATGTCTGATTTTAAAAAAATGATGATGGCCTCATTGTTGTTTTGTAATATTGTCTACAGAGCTCATTGTCTTCACTTTACCAGGGGATAGTATTTTTTACAATTTAATGACATCTGCTAAATATTTGCTGACTGTTATTTTGAGATTGGGAAACAAGTGCAATGATGTAAAAATGTTAACTGATAGTCCTGCCTCTAAATTGACTGAATGTCAGTTGTTTTATTTCTCTCTCTAAACTCTTTTCATTCCTGCCCCATCAGGTGCTGGAGGACAATGACTACGGGCGAGCGGTAGACTGGTGGGGACTGGGTGTGGTCATGTATGAGATGATGTGTGGTCGGTTGCCCTTCTACAACCAGGACCATGAGCGTCTATTTGAGCTCATCCTCATGGAGGAAATACGCTTCCCCAAGAATCTGGCTCCTGAAGCCAAGGCCCTGCTGGCTGGTCTGCTCAAAAAGGATCCTAAACAAAGGTATGTGTGTGTACTGTGATAGCCAAAGACTAAGATGAGAATAAGAATTGGAGATATCGTAATCCGGAAAAAATAAGCACTTAATAATATAACAATGTGTCCCATACATCTATGGATGTTAATACAGATATATACCCAAAATGATAAATCTCTGCAGTTTTTTGTTACTTATGAGCCAACATTTATGCCAATATGTATGTATCTGTGATGGGCTAATAATGGGCTCTAATTAAGAATTAAATGCTGTTTACTATTTACATACTGTTTCAGTGTGCAAACATGACTGTTCAACTGAATGTTTGCCTCTTGGAAATGCAGCAGTACAGCTTGAGGAAAACAATTTTTTTTTCCTGGGATTTTGGTGTTGCACTTGATTAGTTTTCTGAATCTTCCACTATGCTCCAGGGCACCACGTATTCAGCTATAAAATAAGTAACCACATTATTTAAGCTTGTGTTCCTTCTTGATTAGTTTTGGTACAGGGTAATGGCCACACAAGCACATAATTGATTGTTGTTTTGGTCGAACAACTGCTATTATTAGCACATTGAGTTCTACCTGCAGGCTTACTAACACATGCACCTGTAAGTAGTAAGGAAATGAAGAATAAATTTGTTGAGAAATTGGTAAATGCAAGTCAGGGGGAGAACAACACAAAGTAAGTGCTTGTTGTGCATTTCTAATAACAGTATTTCCACATTTGTGTGTGGCTGATGAGTGGGTGATAATGATAGTGTTTTTGTTTTGTTCACAGGCTTGGAGGCGGACCAGACGATGCCAAAGAAGTGATGAGCCACAAGTTCTTCACCTCCATCAACTGGCAGGATGTCACTGAAAAGAAGGTGAGAAACTTGGGACAAAAACAAATTGTGTGACATTTAAAACAAGATGTTCTGAGTGTAAAAAATGACTGATTTTTTTCTTCCCCTCAGCTTATCCCACCCTTCAAGCCCCAGGTAACATCAGAGACGGACACGCGTTATTTCGATGATGAGTTCACAGCACAAACCATTACGATAACTCCTCCAGATAAGTGTAAGTAGATCTTCTCCTGTGCCTCTTTTATTCGCGATTTAAGATTAGATTCACGTTTCTAAGGAAGTTTACATCTGTTTTGAACTTTTGAATGTTCTTTTTTCTCTCTCCCATTGTGCCTACTGCAGATGACAGTTTAGATGCAGAGGATTCAGATCAGCGTACACACTTCCCTCAGTTCTCCTACTCTGCCAGCATACGGGAATGATCACTCAGACTTTTGAACAAGCGGGCAGGCTAACACACAATCACAATCCCACATACACACTCGCACTGCTGGGGAATCCGAACGACACAAACTTGGCTGGCACAAGACACATTTTCATTTGGTCTTTAACGCACACACACACACACACACACACACACACACACACACACACACACACACACACACACACACACACACACACACATAAGACACATACACAAAGACACCCACATACACATACTGGCAAATCAGAAAAGACACAGATTATAGATTATGAAAAGAACACACAGGCTGTGAACGACTGACCTCAGCAGGTTTGTGTGCATAGACAGGCAGCTTTGTCTCTGTACGTCCTCTCAGGGTTGGCTTTAGGCCTCCCTGCAGGACCTCTGCTGCACTACACTGGGCACCACATCAAAGCCTTGATACTTTGAAAACCAGGTTATGCCAGCAAGTACCACCTCTTTACCAGCTGTACCCATGCTACACACACATCAACACCAACCAATCCATGCATAGACTGCATATATATATACACAAACGTACTTGATAGAAATATAATCAAAATTAGGAAAGTGGAAAAGATTTGGGGAAAAAGACAAATTTTTATTTCATCAATCGTTACGGTTTTAAATGTAAAGCCATATTTCTGCATTTTTTTTTTTGTTTGTTTTTATTTCATTTTTTTTAACAAGTGCTCTTTCTGGAACTTGCTGTTACAAATCAAGTGTGGGACTGTTCCTACAGTAGGTGGAAATGGGGAAGAGGGGGAGGGTGAGGAGGGTTGGCATTTCTGTGTTTGCACTGCATGTGTGTAATTGAGTAGATGCGTGAATGTAATGCGTGTGTGCATATGAGTGCAGGAGAATGTATGAACAACCATTTTGATTCTCAACCATCCATTTGTGTCTGTTTTAATGCATGTTTTTAAAAACTCAGAACTATTGCTGGAATACCGACAAGAGGACACTACATGGCACACTCAATGGCCTTTTTTTTTTTTCTTCTTTTTTTTTTTTTTTTAAAGGGAACAAGCATGTCATTTATGATTGCTTTGACCAGCCTGGCGCTAAATAATTGACTCAGTCAGGATTAGAAACTGGGATCTCATGCATGGCTAATCTTTGCTTTAAATGCTGCATTGATTTAACTCAAAGTGATGCAGCAGTAAGGCTCTTTGGAGTCCATGTTGCTGTGTCCAGACTGACTGACCAACCAGCTAGCTGCTGGTTGGAGGTGTGAGTTCATTAAGGCCAGTCACTCTGTGTTAAAGACAGGAATAATAGAAGGAAAGAGAAAAATAGAGACTGTACACTTGACCACAGTTTTTTCCCCAACCCGTCTAGAGAGACCAATGTAGACGAACACAGCCATTCGCTGTCCTCTGTCCAGTAATTCTCACTCCCTAGCTGAGGAGTTAAGCACCAATCTTTTGTTCATTTTCTGTTGTTAATATCAGTGTAAGTGTTTAAAATATTTTTGAAATAAGCGTTTGAATGTTCCTGTATTTAAAGAATGAAAAAAGTTCAATCGTTAAGTCTTTATAATAAGGCCAAAAACTGACTGACTTGGTGGATTTTTAACACTTCAAATGATTCCACATTTGATGTTTAGAGTCTTTGGTTTTTGTTTTCTTTAATGCTGTGTCGAAGCACTTGAATCTATGTAGTTGTATGTCTGGAGCAACAGCTCGCAGGTTTACAATCCCAACTAAACACTGCATGAGCTGGTCGACCAACCTTCAACCTGCAGACAGGGGGAACTAATCAAAACATCAGCTGATGTATTGTGTAGTTGAAATAAAAACCTGCATAATTTAAATCATGACGGCACACGATTGAGAGAAGTTCTGGACAGCACATTGAAATGTGCTCATGTTGACATAAGCATTTTATAATTCCATATTGCTGGAAGAGATGTTGTTGCTCTTTGAGCTTCACTATAGGAACATCGAGACCTTTCTGTTTGCCATTGTTCTGTTTTTGTTTGTTGTTTTTTTCCTCCTTTTTTGTCCATCTATTTCTCAAATTTTGGAAGACACATTGTCTTGTTTAAGTATACATTATATAAAATATCTATATTAAAAGTTTTTAAACTGCTTTCTTTTTGATTTAAGTTCTTCATTTCAAGGGCTTTACATTAGAGGATTGGTAATTTAGCCGAGATGCTAACAATCATGAATTTTGTTTTAAATGGGCAGTTAATAACTGCATTATAACTCCATTTACTGTCTATAATTAGCATAATTAAGCATATTAGGTTAGCGTCATAAAGGTAAACATTCTCAGTATGATCATTGAAATCTGCCCCTAAAACTAAGCAGTTAAAGAACAAACTTTCCTACATTTTTCAGAACACATTGTAAAGCTGCTCTGTTTTAAAAACTGTTTAAATAAGTGGATAAGACCCATCCTTTGCTATGTTCTACAGTGTTGAGTAAAGAAGCTGACCATTTTTCCTACCATTATCAGCAGAGCACTACCTCTGCCATTTCAAAAGTTTTGCTAGAACATCTATCTGCATTCACTGGGATATCCCACATGTCACGTCATAATTTTTTTTTTAAGTTTGTGTGAGTAACTGAGGGTGACTGAGATGTTTGAATGATCGTGGTGACAAAGACACAGGAAAGCAGCAGGTTTCGACTCGTCGTTGAGCAACAGGTGGCCCCAGTTCCTGCAGATGATAATGTGATCAAATGGCTTTGATTTACAGTTCACAACTCCAGCACCTCTTCTCACTGGCTCAGGCACAGCCATCATACTCTAGCCTAGCGTCCTGCTTTGGAAACAGCAGGACCAGATATCAAGAACCACTGCACTGATGGACACCACTGTGGATTTGCCTTCATTGCTATCATGGCCGTAAGGGGGTGCTGCTGAACTTTTTTAATATTGGTTGTGAAGCCATACACTGAACCTCGCTGCTGGCCACGCTTTAAGCAATGCTTCACAGCTAAAAATGCAAGTTAATACCCCTGACCTCTCCTGTAGGCATACACAGGCACAACAAGTGCCTCTTCACTATTGTGTAAATACCAAAAAAAAAAAAAAGCTTGATGGTGAATGCAACATTAGTAGAAGGGGAGGCCTGCAGCTTTGTAGTGTTTGATTTGCAGCTTTACTATGGTTACCTTGCTTCTCTGTATATTTGAATGTGATCAACAGTCACGAATGTCACACCTGATGCTGGTGTAACGATTTTCTTTTGCTTGTTGCTGTTAGTTGAGGCTCAGAGGACAATGAAAAAAGCAATCTTTAAGGGGAGGACATTGTCCTGGTGGACACTTTCACCCCCCCACCCCACCCCCACTCCCCTTTGCAAGACTACAATGTAACGGGTGATACCTGCTACAATATGGTAGCTTATAACATTTGCAACTATAATGTGCCAGTAAACATTTTTACTGAATAAAGCTCTGTGTGTCTTTTTTTATGCCATTTTATTGTGTACACTGTACACCTGCTCAGTCTTAAATCAATCAACTGCAACAGGAATCTTTGGTAAAGCTTGATGTATTATAGCCTGCATAGTGGACACGAAGATCATGTCCCTCATATTGTTATAAAGAATTGGGGGTCCTAATGTGGCAATTTATTTTTTATTTTTCAAGCTTGGCCAAAAAGGTAAGGTAAAGGTAAATCCTTTTAAATTTAACAGTTCTATGCCAGAAACAAACTAAAGTAATGAGATTTGTTATTTCTCCAACAGAATAATATTTCAGGTATTATGCAAAAGGCCTAGAAAAAGCATTTGGGCAATATTGTGGACAGATGCCCAGATAGGGTAGGAAGATAACATTTTCCTTAATTCTATTTTAGAAGTTGAATAGATACATAAAATTAAAAAATGAAGGGAGAAAATTCACAGATTTTTGGAGGATAGTCAAACATTTCTAAGGATGGGTGGGGTTGCACTCTGGGACTTTGGACTCTTGACCATTGTATTTCTAAAACCTTTGGCAGGGGGCAGTATATAACGCATTGCCCTAGAGCTGTTGATTTAACTGAGGCTTTAGTAAATAGTTTTATTGGATTTGAAAGTATTTGCATTCTGTCTCCCCCAGATATGCAAATGAGGGTGAACAAAACAATCCACCACAAATATTTATTGCAATGATAAGCGATTAAATAGAGACACAACAGTACAAGAGTAGGTGTGTTAAGTTTTTGTTTGAGATGCGTTAAAATGTTTCCAGTAAATCTTGAATGTCGAGTAAACAAAGTATTGCTTTATTATGATTCATAACAAACTATTTCACAGTGACCCACAACATTAAAGACCAAATACACCTTTGGTCACTCAAACGTACAAAATTATAACTATATACATATATAAAATGACAGTCACATTGAGCAAAACGCGGTTTATTTTCCAAGCGTCGACCGGAAGTCCTCGGTTCTCACCTGTTTACCACTGTCCCCACCCCAATCAGTGCGGCCCACCTGTCTATAATAGGGGCTGTCCGGGCAGCATGGCTACTCTATCTGCTCCAGGCCTCCGCCGACACCCTTGGATAAGTAGCTGCAGAGGTCCGGCACGGAAACTCTGTCTCCGGCTGTGACTATGGCCAGGACCGGTTTCTCCGACTCTAAGCCTCTGCTGGACTTACACAAGAAGGTGAGCATCTGAACAGTGCGCTCAACGATATGGAGCAATATGTTGCTTAATTAAACTTTCCATGGGTAACTCGTGCTTTTCCAGATAAGTTATGTTAAAAATGTATTTTTTAAATGCTTTGCCTACTCTACATACATGCCTGCTCCTTGCCTGTGCTGTCAGGAAAGTAATTGCATTCACCTGCCATAATCCCAGGTGTCAAGAGTCTGTGATTAGATGGCTGGAGCAGGGCCTTGAGTCGTGATGACCTGAAGTGAATCACCATTTTAATTTAATTTCTTGTCATTCCAGTCCACTGATAACTGACTGTCATGAATACATTGAACTGCAGCCACCCTACAGTCACTATCAAAGACATTAGATTTTTAGAAGTTGTGCTCATAAAAATGTGTTTAAGTGTCACAGGATCATATCAGTAAAGATTTTCTATTGTCCCTCCAGGTGGATGAGAGGCGAGCCCCATTAAGAACTTGGGCTAATGCCTGTGGGCCAATAGATCGCTGGCAGCCTGTAGATGTAGACGAGTCCAGGATGGCCCCGGTCAAACTGGAGCCAGAACGCAGATGGGTACGACTTCTGTCCTGCATGTCACCCTTCGCCCAAAACATACCAGTGTATCTCTCGTCCTGTTCTTTTCCTAGCATATTGGTGTTCCATGATGACTTGGTGGTTAGAGGAATGTCAGGATGTGAAGGGAACAGAAGCTACTCTTTGTTGCATTCACTGTAAACTTCTGCATAAGAGCATCAGCTTGGAGTATTTTTTTTATTTATTTTTCCTCTAATAATTGTAACAATTCCACTTGAAGGGAAATTTTGCACTGATGTGTGAGGTGTTGTCTGTTTGCAGGAGAGGAGGTTATCGTTGCAAACCAAAGAAGGCATCATCATGGGTTTCCATGAAGACAGTCGGGCACATTCAGCTGGTAGTGTAATCAATACAAAAAAACAGTTACAATAAGAAAAAAAAAAAAGGGGGTTTCAAACTTCTTTTCATACCAAAGTGAAATACACTTTAACATGGGGATGACCACAACGTTTACACTTCTCATAGAATTATCAGGATGACTGTATATTTGTTTGTTTTTTTTTTTTATTAATTTTTTTTCTTGAGTACTAAATGTAACATGAACTCTCCATGGCGGAACAAATTGTCAGCGCTCAGTCAAAGATGTTGTTGTTGTTATTTATTTATTATTATTATTATTATTATTATTATTATTATTATTATTATTATCTTGTCCTCCTTTCCACCCTGTGCAGATGGGTGTGTGGAGGAGCCTGTGCTTCTTTACCCTCATGGATTGCAGGGTCTTCACAGCCTGCAGGCGCTGGTGCCCAGCTTGTTGCGCCATGAAGTAGAGATGGCACTGGAGAAACTGGGCCTCATATGGGACCGGACATATGCTTGGGACGTGTTCTTGGACATGATGGTGAGACATGATGTACAGGGGTGCTTCATGTCAGAGTATGTTTCTCTTTAAGGGAGGAACATTATCCCTAAAATGCGCTGTATGCAGACCTCATCACTAACTGTACAAGAGGGACAACCAAGAAGACAGTATTATCACAACATAGATGTTTAATTATTTAGTGTGTGCCTCCTGTTGTTCTGTTTTCACCCTGCAGAGAACTCAAACATGGAACGCTCTACCCACCGCTGACCTGCCCCGGCACTTCACAGATGCCACTCGAGCTGTCCTGGTAGACTGGCTCATTCAAGTTCATGTGAGTCCCACAGTTTATAGAAGATTTCTTCTCCCACAAAACAAATCTTGTCTAATTGTAATTTAAGGTCATATGTTTGTTGTTGGGCTCTGAAGAAAATTCAAATGCTATGTTAGATGACCTGCCATCTAAATTGTGTCACCTGAGAATCAGGCTTCATTAAAGGAGTAGTCTGACCTAAAATGCTCTACTCGTCTCAGTCTGTTTCCACCCTACAAACATAACTGGTTGGGGTAGAGATTGCATTTGAGCTCAGGTTGCGGTAAATCGATGGGCAAACAGACTTCGATGCAGCAACACTTATTAATGCTTTCTCACTGAGAGTTAGATGAACACTGTCTGTATGGTAAATTTGAAACTAAAGCCAGCAGCCAGTTAGCTTATATTACCACAAACATAGGAAACCAGAGGGAACAGATAGCCTGGCTCTAGCAAACGCAAACAAAATGAGCACCTCTACAGCTCACTTGACACATTATACCTCATTTGTTTAATCCTTTCAACACCAAAGTGTAAAATTACAGTTTTTAAGGGGGTTATGTACCACACTTGTTCTTGGCCAGGCACAGTGACTTACTTACACAACCAGAAAATGGGCTATAATAAGCTCTTGGTCTTTTTTTCTCAGCGGTCTTCAATCTTGAATGCCTTGTTTATTTCCTACCAGGAGACAATGCATTTCCAGGAAGAGACCCTCTATCTGGCCATACACCTCCTCAACTGCTCCTTGCGTCAGATCAAAGTGACCACTGCCAATCTGCAGCTCCTCGGCATGGTTTGCCTCTTCCTTGCTGCAAAGAAAGAGGAGTGTCTCCTCCCTGAGGTATGCTGCCTTAGTTGGCAGTTTTAATTACCCAGAGAAAGTCAACTGGTAATATGGGAGATGAATAATGTCTTTTTATTTTTTTTTTCTTCTTTAGACCTTGAATGAGTGAAATGCATAAAAACCAAGTGCTTTCTCTAAGAAGACACATTTTTCCTGATTTGAGCTGCTTCTTCCAGGTGTCTGGACTCTGCTACTTGATGGACCACACCTACACTAAGCATCAGCTGCTGCGACTGGAACGCAAAGTCCTCTGTGGGCTGAAGTTTGATTTGTCCTACTGTCCTCCTCTGCATTTCCTTCTCCTTCTTGCCTCCATTGCTCGCTGCAGTGCTAAGGTAGATCTACATTGTTTTTGTAATTTTTTTTTTTTTTTATATAAAGTGCAAGTGATATTGCAACGCACCCTGTCATCTGTGCCACAAGGTGGTGTGGATGGCTCGTTATCTGCTGGAGCTGTCTCTCTTGGAGGGCCAGTGTGTGGTGTTTCTGCCTGTGCACCTGGCAGGAGCAGCCCTCTGCTTGTCCCGCCAAGTCCTGCAGGAGCCCCCGACACCAGAGGGGGAGTCTGCCTGGTGTCTGGCCTCCAGTGTCCATGTCGGCAGGTGTGTATTTTGACTCATAAGATGCACCCCCCCCTTATTCAACCATCTTGTATTACATGCCATTGAGTGATGACCTCTTATCCACAATGCCCTTTTTTTAAAAGCTCTGGCATCTGTCCTCACTGTCAGTTTAACATCTGTATGCTTGGTTGTTTTTCAGTGAGACTGCCCTGCTGAGGATCATTCACATTCTGACCAATGCTGCAGCCAAGGCCCACACCCGAGAGACCTGTGCTACTTTTATTAAATTCTCCTCCCCAGAGACTATGCATGTCAGCAGACACCCAGGTCTAAAGAAAATCTCTGCTTTGCTGGGTATATGCACTTGATGTCCACGTGTCTCACAGGAACTCCCAAAGCCTCATGGTGGGAGATCCTAGACTAGTATGTTTTGACGACTTGACTCCTCTGGATCCTGAGGATGTAATGTGGAAATGGGTGAGGAAGAAGTGTAAAAGATTTAATGCCAAATGTTGTTTGACAAAGAATTGCATGCATTTAGCATGCTTGAGATTTAGCCAGCCTAGTGGCACACCTGTTTTATTGTCTTATCTTGCAGCCGGTTTTTGAAAATATTTGAATTGTTATTTGTCCTTGTCTTGTCATTTGTGGAGAGGATGTGGGCTGTCTATCAAATTATTTGAGAAGTTTTAATGTAAAAATAAAGTGTCTGCTGTATGTAAGTATGGCGTTTCAGCTGTTTATTTTTGCACGACTGAAATTTCTACCAGTCCACCAGGCTGTGACTACAGTTCTACATGAAAGCACTGTACTGCACTTCTGACTGCATGACTGCATTGTTTGCCACTCCTGCTCATATGCACAAGCAAGCTGACACAGCTGATTGGCTCAAAGGAGTCACAAAAAAATGTGGGACAGCTGCTACATCACAACTTCATGTCAACAGTATTTATTTTCAATAAATGTCAAACAAATGCACATCAGGTGTACTCTAAAACTTAATTTTCTGTAGAGTGTCACTTTTGTCCTGTGCAGTAATGTTGTCCTATGTGTATGCAGGCTTTCTTGTCAAAGGCTAGTTGTGTGCAAATCCGTGCTCACGGGCTGTTTGGAATTAACCCAACAACATAACTAATGTTTGAACTGATCAAGTTCTTGTGCATACCTCAGCCAGCCTTGTTGTTTGTTTTTTAATTTTTTAAACTGAATCATCTCTCTTGGCGCATAGATTTCATCTCGATCCTAAACGTGACTTATCCTCCAACAAGCCTGTTTTCTGCACACTTTGGTTTCCTCCACTACCGCTGTCTGGCTGCAGTAATATCTGATTGGCTGTCGTAGTTTTCTCACGGACCAATGGCCGTTCAGTGCACAGACGGATCATTTTTATTGTGTCTGGTAGGTGGTCCATCTGGCGGCCCTGGGTCCAACTAAGGTAGCAGACCGACACTTACCAGCTCCATGTTTAATTGTGTTATCAGTGGGCTGCTTTATGTCAGTCTTGTACCTTCACACAGACTCTAATGACGTAATGTGTCGATATTGATTATGTATTTTCTTCCCCCTACTCTTTGACATTTCGTCGTAGCGTCAAACGGCGGCGTCAAGCTAGCCAGAATTAGCCACCGGGATTTCAAAACAAAAGCCTGATTGTTGCTACTGTTGGATAAACGTTTATGTAAGTACTGTCTGAATATAAAATCAAGATGATTACTTCTGATAGAGTTGGAATTTAACGGACTAGTTGGTGTTATTTGCAAAATCCTGTGCTTTGTTTATAGTTGTGTGTTATATATTGAAACCAAACGGATATGTTGTTTCTTCCTCTGACCAGCTTGATAGACGTTGCCTTAGCTCAACCCGTTTTCACTGTTGTCTTATCACACGGCATTTTTGACAAAGAGAAAAATGTTAAATTTTTCTGTACTGTAATTCTGACAGATAACAGTTCCAGCATGGTCCTGCTTGTTGACGTTAGCTTTATCCGGCTTCCTCAAACTGAGCATAAGGGGAAAAACGACCTTTAATTGGAAATAATTGGCTGTTGCACATTTGGAGGTAAGTTTTCCACTGTCGGTAGGAGCGATAATAAATCTATTGGCTTTGAGGAAACGTGATATTGCCAAATCTCTGCACTTCCTATTCAAGCTTTCACTCTTTTATAACTTTTACGTTTTTTTTCACGTGGCCATTAATGTAATAACGACACATAATGTCGTTTAAAATTTTAACGACTTCGACTATTGTGTATTTTGTGTACGTGTTTACGACTGGTGTGAGAAGTGTATGTTAGAGAGGGCAGGACTCAAAGTTAAGGGTTACATAACATGAGGAAGGGGGGGGGGTGCTGCTGCTGCTGCTGCTGCTGCTTCAGCTGAGAGCGGCATGTGCTGCCTTCACGGAACCACTCCCTTCACGAAATATCAGAAAAGTTTTACATACTTCCTGCATAGATGAAATAAACCGTGAAAAAGGAGACGTTGTATTTATCAATAGTGGAGAGCACTAGTGGACCTCTGCAAGGACAAAGGCTGTACAGCCCGTTCAGGAAAAGCTCTAACTTATGGCAATTTAAATAAAATTGCCTTGACAGGAGTTGACACTGAAGTTATACTGCTGATCTAAAAAGTCAACTATCAATTAGAAACCTAACACATGTTTCTTCCCCGGCAGAGCATTACATGTTGCTGCAGTGTAGATTGAAATGTGAATATAAACTGCAAAGTTTGTCAATTCGTAAAGACATCTTCTCCTCTTCGAGACAAGAGACAGCACAGCAGAGCGATGATGTTGTGCAGGGTCATCTATGAGAGGTGGTGTGGCAGATAATTTCCCAAAATGGTTCAGCCACCCATGCACTACATATTCCTCTGTTTTTTTTTTTTTTTAACTTCGTACCATCAGATACAGTAATCGCCTCCAACCTCTGTTTGACAAATTGTGTGTATCTACACTATAGGGGTGCTGTACCTATGCATCACAGGGTAATTGCCTGTCACTTTCTTATAGACAAATGAGTTGTAGTACAATAGGTTCCTGGTGAATAACTCAAACTATGTATGGACAAATTAGTATTTAATCCAGTTCTATCAGCCTTGTACTAATTTTAATCCACATTGTTCGATCAGTTAAAGCCTAATTATATATTTATTTGTTTGTTTTAAAAGCCCCTCCTCAGACATTTCTTTCACTGCTCAGGTATTTGTCAGATGCCATTGACAGGCAAAATGTGAGGACATATGTGGAGTGCCATTTTGGCTGCTGTGGCTTCAAGATTGATAGTTGTCATGCAGGTGCATGAAAGACATGTCTCTGTCTGTTAATTTGAATTACAGCATTTTGTTTGGGTTAACAACCAAGTAACAGGCTCAGTATTCTCTGTGAGGTATTAATAGAAGTAATGCACAGGCTGTTATTGTGTGAAAGTTGCCATGGTTACACCCCCTAAAGTCAAACACCCAACCGCCAGTATGTGCCATTGTGGATTCACCTGCAGAAAAGCATTGACAACACCACTAAAATGGTGTAAAGTTGTCATGCAATAGATTGCACAAACAGTTTAGGAAAGAATTCAGGGAAATGTTGTTACAGACTGCCCAATATTACAGAGAAGAGGAGCAACATGATATTTATTTAGGAGGTATGTGTAGCATTAACACAACAGGTTTTTTAAATAAAACTGGTGCCACCGAAAAAGTCTGTGATTATTGTTGTCATCTAAAGCATTTCAATTTCATTTTCTATACCGATAGACATAATTGGTCATGTGATCATGTTATCAGTCTTATCACAGCTCTGAAAATGTGTTATTATGTCTGTGTTTCCCAACATTTACAGACAGGTCTAAATATCATGTGTTTTCTCATTAGGGTCCAGTATGCCTAAGGAACAGCCTTGCTTGAGCGAGCACAATCCTTGTGCCACGTCCAGCAAGGATGCTAAAGATAAGAGCAACAGTACGACTCTGCTGGCAACACGTGTTTCGAAAGATGCCGACGACTCCAGTGGAAGGGGCTCCCACTGCAGCTCAGAAAAAGACTCTGGCTACTCTGGTGAGTTGAAGTAAATGTGGCAGAAATATGACCAGAGAATTGACAAATTGCCAAGTTTGATTCTCTATAGCTATTTCCCATACACTCCCACGTGTATCTGTACAAGTCAGCACAGGCAGTAATAATTAGAAAAGCTGGATGGGACAAGCAGTGCAGTATATAATGGGCAGGGCACTTTCTTTGGTTTTGAAATCAAACAATGACAAAAAAGGTCACTGTGTTGATTTTCAGGTTTAATTTGTGTAGGTTTACATCCATGTCAGTTGAAGCGTGTAGGAATTGTAAACGTGTTCTTGCTAAACCCCACAAATTCAGGGGACAGAGGTTAATTGAAGAAAGTTACCAATACTTAAATGAAGACGTCATATCGTCAAAGTCGTCAGTTTGACCAGACCTTGGTTGCCATGGCTGTGTGTTAAAGATCATTATCCTGCCATTATTTCATTTCAAATCCAAAGAGCCAAAACATGATAAATGTGTTGCTTTCCTAATACTAACTACTGAAGCAACAATGTTGTATAACGTGAATCTTATAAACCTGAATCTAATCCAAACCACAGTAATTGGAAATGCTGTTAAATGGGTGAGTCAGCGGTAATATATGGTTCGATTGTATAGGGTGTGATACGTTTATGATGGGTGCCTTCTTTGCAGCAAGGCAAAGCTTATGATAAATTTGTATGAATCAGTGTGGTCTGACATAAAAAAAAACAGAAACAACAAAAAACAATGTCACATATTGTGTAGTTGGATACAGTAATTCACATTTTCTTATGCCTGTACTAGTTATACAAGCAGTACTGTGCTGAAACAGGTAACTTTTGTTGCTAGGACAGCATTCATGTGGACAAATCCAATCCAACAGCGCTTTCTGGTGGCTATACAGGTTAACAGCAGAGTCAACATGAGGCTTTTATAGCATTTCCCACAAACATGACTACAAAGCGGGTTACTAATGCGCAACAGCCAAAGTACATCATACGTTATGTAATTTGAGCATGACAGCATTAATTACTGATCATCAAACAACAGACAGTAAAGGTAATTTATGGTAGTCAGTAAATACATGACAAACCTGTTTTCACAGGTATGTATGCCACGGTGAATACTGTAAATGTCAGCATGTCGGTTTCTCTTCAAGTCCCTTTTGTGAACATAAAGTAAAAGTTTAAAAATGCAACAGTATCACTACCAACTTACTATGTCAAAACAGTTCAACTGTCCCTTCGAGCATGGCTTTACTCTGTCAGCATTTCTCAGGTCTCTCTGTTGTGTCTTCTGTGCAGACGGCTCAGACTGGCAGCAGACAGATGTGGAGGACCAGCACAGCAACAAAAGCCAGTCCAGAGGCAGTGAGTGTGCAGAAACCACACAGCCAGGTAAAAACCAAGAACGTGGGCAAGGAAATCCTGGGAATCATACCCTGATGGCAGCAGGCCGTGAGCTACCACCCATCTACATAATCAAGAACATGGTGCTGAAGCAGGTAAGGCAGGTGTAGATGCAGGCACTGACGTAGGAAATTCGATACATACTATTTATTTAGAAACAAATATAAGAATTAGTATGTTAAGAATAAGGACCGGAACTGTAAGAATGGTATGTATTTGAAAACTCTGGGCTACATTTCAACTCTTTGAAGCATCTCAGTTATTTTGGTGTTCTCATTTTTCCATTCATGTGTGTTAGTGTATACGTTTGTTGTCTTCGTATTTCTTTATAATGTACATTTACTTCTACCCTTCCTTCAAATACAGCGTTTCCTTTTTGGTCCTTGATTTCTCTGTGTTTCGTACTTGTGTTCCTCTTCCTTCCTTTCCCACCAGCCGGACACCATCCAGAAAACAGGTCAGGTGCTCTGGGAGACCGGCAGTTCTGGTGTTCCCCATATGATTCTTTGCCAGCAGCCTAGCTTATTGCCAACCACCTCGCAGCTCCAGAAGACCTTGTCCTGGAAGTCCAACGTCACAGGGAAGAAAATAAAAGGCACATACCTGCCTATTTTCAACTCCTACCCCCGCATTGCACCACACCCCAGTAAGAAGCCGCCTGATAAATCCTTATCAAATGGGGATTCCCAGAATCTGAGCAAGAGGGTGTGCACAGAACATAAGAGTGATAACACACCTGTGACCAGGAGTCTACCTGACCAGTACCTTTATAAGCAACCCAAATTAGCAGTCTCAGCCTCTGGGCAGCCTTGTTCCTCTTCAACCAGAGATAGTCCATCCTCCTCCAGCTCCGTTACTGCCTCCTCGAGCCAGAGCTCGCCATCTGTGTCCAGTGTCCACACCACCACCTCCTCCTCCCTTCCAACTAGAGGGCTTAACAGAAACAGCACCACCAGTGCTCGCCATCGCCGTTTTCTCAACACGGTAGAAATCCTCAGACAGTCAGGTTTGTTGGAAATTACACTGCGCACGAAAGACCTGCTGCAACAGAGCAACGCCACAGAGCGAGACATTGCCCAGCTGCGCCAGCACGCAGAGCTACTGTCTCAGGCTGCCAGCAACCCCAGCTGCAACATTAATGGTATCGCAGCCTGGGAATGTCTACACAGAGCCATGGCCGAGTCCAGCAGCTACCCCAACCTCAAACTCCTGCAGAATTTACAAATCCTGTCTCATCCAGACTCTGCTGGTCAACCGGAGAGTGTTGCCACAGGTGAAACCAACAGGCCTCTAGCTGCTGAGAACTCACAAGTGCCAGCATCTTGCCTTCTCGCCACCCTGTTGGACCCAAACCAGAACTGTCCGGTGTCACAGCAGTTTCAGTCAGAACAAAGCCGGATGCTTGAGGACGAAAAAACCTCAGACAAAGTCACCTTTATGCCTCCTGACAGTTCTACCGGTTAGCACAATCTGCAGTGCCTTCGGAGGGACAGCAGGTTCTCAGGGTAGCCAGTGGAGAACCAGTAGCTATGTTGGATATTGTGTGTTTTTCATGGTTTATCCCTTGTTATTTAAACCTAGTTTTAAAGGGGTTGCACAAAATATCTCTGCAGGACAATGGAAATCCAAAGGTGACTCAGTTTTATTGCTTACTGTACATATTGCAGTTTTGTTTCCAGTTCCCTTCACCAGAGTTAAGTGTTTGACATCTGAAAGCTGATCCTGTAATTAATGCACTAAAGTTCTATGTATTCCCAAGGCACCATTTTGCATCACCACCGCAGACTTTGTAGATCCACACATAGGTGGAGAGCATCTCTGCATGTGAGCCACTTAAAAGATTATGTGACGATAAAATGTGTTCCCCAGGAGGAAGAGGATATTGGCTTACACACACAAGTGGTACTTTATGCGATTATGATAACTTGAGTGTGTACTATTGTTAATTGTTAATTTGATTGTTTTGCTGTCACAACAGACTAACTTTATTCAGGGAAAATATGAATAAATCAATCTCCTGGTAGATAAATGTTGAAAAAATGCTTTCTCATCATTTATTTTACCCAAGAGAGAGAGAGAGGGTAAGCAGTCAGCAAGGTTGGTGCCTTCAAAACAACATAGCTGAACATAAAGGCTCTCAGGGAGCTTAATGCTACAGAGAAAATCCCTCTGTAACATAACAGACTGCACTACACTGGACTGTTGTAAGGACTTGTTTTCAAATGCTTCTGAACAAAGCCTTTAAAACTCTTTATCACTTGATATTTTTATGCTTTATCAGGGCTCATCATCACCACAGGTTATTATACACATTTACTTCAGTGAAGTCTTTATCCATTTTATATAAACAACACGTTTTGTGATAATGGAAGCAATTCAACCCCAGTCTATGAATTCAACACAGCATCTTCAAGATAATGAGGTCAACCATTTCCTCTCATGCAGCAGCTCTGTTGTCCGTTTTCACTTTGATGATGTTTTTGTTTGCACCAAGCCACCGGTTGTTGGTGTTATGTGGTCATCTGTTTTGTTCATAGACGGAGCACAGTTTGCAATGCGTGCGCGAGAGAGTTTGACAGGGTTTATGTTTAAAAGTGTGTTGACTAAGTGATTTTATACGTGTGGCATGTGAATGATTTTTCTTCCATTTTGTTGTGCCTGTGCATATGACAGCACTGCCAGCAGCGCACACATTTATGAGATTTAAAGTGGTTTATACTGTGTATTTTTCATCATTTTAAGGTATTTAAATAAAGCGATACATGAAAATGTGACTTTTTCAGTTTGTCATATGACTCTTTTCAATTTGCATCTCATATTATGAAAACAGGCCCCGAGGGAAGAAGGGAAAAAAAAAAAAGAAAAGATTTTTGTAATTGTTTGCTTTTGTAATACTGATTTCGGCCGCAAGAGGCTGAAGTGCACCACTACCCAGTAACCCAAATTGGACTAAAAGCATTCATGTTTCTGTCTAGGCATTAAATTTCTCCATGCACTCTAAAACCACAGTACATATAATGTGTGTTAGCAAGTTAGGTAACATTGCTGTTTACCAAGAAATGTATTTTAATCAGAAACACTTAAGGAAGTCGGGTGAGAAAGTATAAGGAGTAACAAAGTCCACATGTAAGTGGTGATGGAGAAATGGATCACATTAGACTTTCGCTTCAGAGGCTGCAAATTTTGTTATGTTTATTGATTAAGTTAACTATTCTTTTCAGTTTTTTCTTTATCTTTATTTCAAACCTTTCATCTAGGATTTCTGGAAAAATATCAATTCATGAAATGGGGGCTTTTATGTGAAACATATAGTTGGTTCTTTTTCATCCAGTGTTGGACACTGAAAGGAGGAAGTCTTGCTCATCTTTGACCTCTGGATTCTAGACTTGCCTGAGGAAAAGCAGAGATAGTAATATCACAGTCAGTAACCAGCCCGCTTTGTGCTAGATCGTACTTGTTGGGTCCATAGGTATAGTTGCCAAATTGGTTAAGGATCAGATAACCTTTCATATCAATCAGTGAACTGTTGAAGGGCTTCCCCTCCGACGCGCTGCAGCTCAGCCTCTTTCTTTTGGGTCAGTGAGTAGTCCAGGTCAGGTCGACACAGACGATGGAAACGCTAAGAAATTTAAATAAATATTCACCAGTAATTTTCAATACCAAACATTCCACTGACCTGGATCAAATATGTAAAACTAAAGCCATTGTTATGAGTTGGTTGCATAATATGGGTTTATTGCATTGTTGCAGTGGTGAAACAGCATTAAGACAATAATACTTAATAATACTTAATCAATAATACTGCATGTTGGCTGTTGGATCTTTCAAAGTTTGTACTCTGGATATGAACATTATAATTAAGGCTAGATGGAGACTTTAATTAACTTAAACATTTTAAACTTTTAAAGGACATTTCTGCTACATAATAATAATTTTAAAATTTACAGCTTATTTTGCAGATGGGGATCTGAGAAGTAATTGTCTGTAAAAAGGTGATGAGATCTGTTAGACTACAGGTATTCAGATTTTTATTGGAACATACTCAAATTTTATTTATTAGTTAATATTTTGCACAAGGATTTTAAGAGGAAAGGAGTCATGAAGCACATGACCGAGTCAGTGCCACTTGATTTCATTATAATATATAACTAAGTTCTCCCACCTGACTGAGGGTTCCAGTTCCAGTTAGAAGCTTATATAATGCCCAACCTGGCACAAGCAGGATGGAGGACAGGGCCATTACCCAGCCCAACACATATGCCCAGGCTGGGTACACATACCAGCGATTGAAGGTTAGAGGCTGGTACTCCACTAAAGAACATATAAAAGAGCCCTGAGAAAACAATGAAGAGACATTCAGTAGTTTGTTATTTTGTCAGTGTTATATATATAATTTATCTGGATATTTCAGTAAAGTGCAAAATGCATATTCAGGTGAACATGAGGATATTCATAATGCACATATGCAACACTGAAAGCCTGACTCACCAGGGAGACCAGTGGTGTGAGGTAGAGCCAGCAGATTTTGAAGAATGGGTTGGCACGCACACCTGTCATGTCCTTTATGATGTCATACAACCGCTCGGTCCCTTGATGGGAGATGAGGTTGGATAAATAGTACAGAATAACCAGATGAGGCCAGATGTTTGTGAATGATTGGTGTGATTTAAAGGGGAACAGTTTTCTTCAGTCTGTCAGTTACATAATGCTCACTTTAGCTCTGGAGGTTCTGTGTCAAATGTGGGGAAACATCCCTGTTGAGGTCAAGACATGGTTGAAAGATAATTGAAATACATGGATGTGTACTGAAACATATGCTATAGGTTGCATAATGAGAATGTAGGATCCAGAGTCTCTACTGAAGTCCAGTACTACATTGCTGGACTACCCTCCATACAAAACTAGGTGTAAAAACAACAATTCACAATCATACAGGGGGTTTACAGACATATAGGGTTAGCCGAGACCAGTTGCCAGGTAACCATCAGAGACTCCAGAGGGTTACTACAGACATGACAGAGGAATAAAAGAGGAACTATTCATTTTAAACAGCAAACCTACCAAATACCCATCCTAGTGCCAGGGTTTCAAACACACAGAGAAAGAGGATGCAGGCTCCATTACAAGCATAGTTGTCAAACATCTGGAACACATACATCCCTGCCTGGAGACAACAGCAGAGACATTTATTATGACATTTTAATGTAGAAGTCAATTTGGAAATATGGAAAACTATTGGAGCCAATATTTTCACATTATCATATTACATCAACTTTTATGTTGTTATGAGAAAAATGTTATAATAACCTGAAAGCATCAAAATAAGGACATAAAAATTGCTGTATTTTGACAGCAATGCACAGCCACATTGGGGTAATAAATAAAAAATGTAGGTATCAGACTAAGTACTGACCTCAGTGATCATGACAAGCTGAGAACAGAAGCATGTGAGGCAGAAGAGGAGGAGGAAGCGCTCCCGTTGGCCTGTTCTGCGCATTACAGTAGGAAACATATCTATGATCGACGTCACCACCACCTCTATAGCGACAAACTGAACAGAGAACAGACAAGACAGAATAAGTAGATTTCCAAATGGAAATGGGTTCTTCTATAAAAAAAGAGTCAGTGTGCATCTTACTTGTGTGTCCAGACCCAGGAGAATGAGCATGACAAAGAAACAGATGGACCACAGTTGAGGCACAGGCATCATGGCTACAGCCTGAGGGTATGCAATGAATGCCAGGCCTGGACCTGGGAAACAACATCAGATTGGATGCTGGACTGGTCTCCTACTATCTGTATTTGATCTCTTCTTGAGTGTGTCTCAATGGCAGATCAAGAAAATTATCTTTACAGAAAACTGAATGCAAATTGTAAAGGAAAAAAATCCTAATTACCTACAGTATGTAGCTGTAAACAACAAGGCCCAAGGCACTGCATTATTTTTGTGATCATTTGTAGTTTTTATTCATGGTTTTTCATGAGGAAGTGTGGGACAAAAAGTGGGAATAAGTGGAATTAAAAAAGAGCATAGTGACATGTGATTTATATGAGATCTGAGTACTGTATGTCAATTAAAGAATAGACTGAGTGTTTACTGATGATTGAGGGAAGCACTGTAGCTGGGAAGTCTGCCTGATTGTGTTTGTGATGTAAATATTTGGGTAGGGAGAAGAAGAGACATGAGAGTGAAGCAACATGAGCAGAGCTAGGGCCTGACATGAGGACTGAGTGAAAAAGTGCAAAGGTTCATCTAAAGTTTATCAATTTCCATGCACATGGTTGCGTTTGCCCAGACATCAAGCGGGGGCTAAGACTACATACACCAACCCCCACAGTGGCCCCGCACTACATCAGATGATAGTAAACCACATCTCTCCCCTTGCCAACAGAATTCAAACACCCAAAACATGCCAGCTAGAGTCAGCTGCTATGCCTGGGTCTGTAGGGTGCACACTGCTCAGAGCAAGTGTCCCACTGCATACCAGAGCAGGAATGCATGCAGTGTAAAAGAGGTGACTGTCAGTTGTGTCTGCTTACACTGGCTTTACGCTGAGTAAGTGTTATTGTGCTTGTTGTGTCTGAGGTTGACCTCAAGGTGGCAGAAAAGATTCTACCCATCATGGATCAGTGGTGGAGGAAGTGATTCATAAGATAAAAGTACCCATACAACAATGCAAAAATTCTCCATTACAAGTAACAGTACATATGTTTTAACAGAAAAAAATTCTTAAAGTTTTTCTGTTGTCGTTTGTTGTTGTTCACAAGCCAAATGGTTGAGAACCACTGGATTAATCTTAACAATGTGAGATATTTTAAAGCTTATCAGCTAAATGTTTTTATATAGCATTCAAAGATACTTGTAAATATATCTGTCAAGTAAACAAAAATGTAGTTAAGCAAAAGTTTTTAAGTAACATAAAATGTATTTACTCTATCAAAGTTACTGGTAGACTACACCTCAGGGTGGAGGCCTCCTCTGCACGGCCAGAATTTAGTGATGCTCTGTAATGTTGGGTCTAGGAAGACAAGGGTGCATCTTTCTGAATATCTCTGGTAGCTTCCATTACCTGACTCGGCCACTTCTGCAATGGGAACGCCCTGCTCATGAGCCATGAACCCCAGCACCGAGAAGACTGCAAATCCAGCTACCACACTGGTGCCACTGTTCAGCAAACACAGCCACAGACAGTCTCTGCAAAACATAAAAACACAGTGCATCCTCTACGAATTCCTAGCACATGGTTGATCATTTTCCATATGCTGCTGCTTAGCTCTTGATCAGGTCAGTAGCCACACACTGACAAATACTTACTTATAGCAGTTATTGTTATATGTGTTGTAGCTGCCTAGCACAGTTAAGGAGCCCACACCCACACTGTATGAGAAGAAGATCTGAGCCCCAGCCTCCATCCACACCTGTCCCAATAAAGCAGCAGTGAGTACATTTGTCCACTTACACTGCCACGGCATATCTTTAGGATCCCACCTGTGGGTCTGTGAGTCGTGAAGGTTCAGGCAGGAGATAAAACAGCACTCCTTGCAGAGCACCAGGAAGAGAGAGTCCGCGGATCAAAAGAATTAACAACATCACATAGGGAAAGGTAGCAGTGAAATAAACCACCTGGGGAAAAAATACAGATATGATATTAAGATAGTAATATTGTATAGACATTTACCACAGTTTAGGACTTTTATTAATACCTTTCCTGTAGATTTGACCCCTTTCCAGATACAAAAGTAGCAGATGATCCACATGACAATAAGACACAACAGCACCTCCCACCTGATGCTGCCTATCTCCTCAATCCCCGCTGAAATAGCGAGCACTCGTCGTCTATGGAAAAAGATCAACAAGAACAAAATGTTGTTTTATCTTGCATGAAATTCAACTAAATTGTTTCTTGGAATGCGAAGAACAGTCTGGGGGCTTAGTTTGTTAATGATAGACTTACTCCCAGAATTCAGTGGCAGCAGAGGTTGAATTAGTCTGGTTGGTCCATTGGACGGTGTTATTTCTTGTTGAAAAGTCTACACAGTCATCTAAAAGGAGAGTAAGATTCAGGTCAATAATTGATATCATTTAAAAACAGTTTGTCAGAGTTTTGCCTTGTTGGTAACATTGAATTGCATCATGCAAAACTGTCAACTTATGCATAGCTTATCAATCATGCTGTGGTGTGCTGTGGTGTCCCATCGTTTCATGTATAGGAAATTTTTCTTAATGCATCTGTAGATGATTCTTAAAAATGCTTTTAACTTTCATTATTTTCATACCAAATGTCTGAGAAAGGTGCTCTAAATCTTATTAAAACATGTGGTTTGTCTTATCTTTTTCAGATAAGACATTTTGACATGACACAGTAGGAAAAGCACATACTAAAATCAGTGATGGCTGAATTCCATTTAGCTGCTGGCTAATATGGTGGAAAAATGATTCAACATAAGACATCATGGAAATGCAATCAATCATTTTTCTGTACAAAATTACAGGTGTAGTTTCAGTTTATATATATTGTTACCCACTTGATTGATACAAAACATGAAACCACTACTGACCTCATTAAAATTCACTGATATGTGATACCATATCACACAAATCATGACAAATAGTATTATCATGTCCTGTGTCACACATGTCAACCTTAAGCCATGTGACAGTGCCCATTTTACCTGTGTTCCAGTAGTTGTTGCAGCTGGACCAGGGCAGCTGGGAGCTGAAGGAGAACACCAGGTAGAGCAAAGCCCAGGACAGGATAATAATGTAAGTCATACAGCTGTAGAAGAGGATCAGCTGCCCACCATAGCCGATACCTACGGGGCCAGATGTGCATTAGAAGAACCTGACATCCTCCATTCACTAAACCAGTCATTGTTCAGGATTACTAGAACCTAACACCTGACAAATGACCTGACTCACTCAAGGGATTATTTTACCCCCAAAGATAAATAAAAGAAAATAAAAATTATTACAATTTTATAGTTTTACAAATATAAGGCCAAACGAAAATTTAAAAAATGGCACTTTCATTCTTTTTATTTCTTTTTCTTTTTTTTTTTTTACCTGAGCTTACCTGAGGGAATGTACATGTAGCAGATAACTCATGACGGTTATGTTTGAAATATTCAGTCCTTGTTGTAAGAAACATTCCTCCTTTGGTTTACCATTCACTTCTATATAGTTAGACAGTTTAAAAAACAAAAACAAAGAACAAATATTTTTCATTTGATGTGTTCTTGTTCCTTGTCAAAACCTGGCACCTACATTACCCACAATGCAACTCTACTGCCGCTACTTCGGTAAGAGATTCAGGGGTGTCACAATGAATGTATTATGGGTGTCATGCTAATAGCGGCTAATGTAGCATTTGAGCTTCTAGCTAATGGCAGAGATGGAGAGCCGGTTACAGACGTCTGGTGAGTTCACTTCGACTCTGTCACTGTTTATGTGACTTCCTGCAGCCCGCTTTGAAGCCACAAGGGTTAATACAACTTCATTCACTTATGCAGTAGCGGGTCGCCAACACCTGTAAAGTTTGACTTGAGTTTGATGAGTGTTCCTTAAAATAAACATTCAATAACACAACTACAAACATTTCCAACTTCCCTTGTTTAAATATTAATATATATTTTTTGCTTGAAAAAGGGGTCACGGAGAACATGTAGATGTTAGTTTGTCAATGTTTGCCTTGTGCTGACAACCATTATATATGGTCTTTCATCATTTGTGTTCAAGTTTGTTTTGACTACAGTAGAGTGGGTAATGTGTTACTGCCTCACACATCCCTTCTTAGTGTGATTACCTCAGTGAAACACTGAACTGCCTGAACTGAAAAAAGAAACTTTCCCACAGTGGGGAAATACCATAGGTCTATAATGACAGCTACTCCTGTCAGCAATCATTTCAAAAATAGTTTCCAGTGAGTCTTGGTTTTTCCAGCTTTTTGTGGTTTGTACAATAGGTTAAGTTTTTGCCTTGCTCTGCTACAATCGGTCCTGAACAGTTTACCCTCTGCCAGCGGGCACAGTTTCCTCCAGCAGGTGATACCGCCCTCCTGGGTGTACTGGCCTATGGTGGTCTCCAGCAGGAATAGAGGTATGCCACAGGTCACCACAAATACCAGATACGGCACCAGGAATGCACCTGAATTTACAAAATACACAACAGTGCATACCTGTACTATGCATTTTGGATAACAAGCAGTGAGTATTGTTTATGCTTACCCCCTCCATTTTTGTAGCAGAGGTAAGGAAACCTCCACACGTTGCCCAGTCCGACAACATTTCCCGCCACAGCCAGGAGAAACTCCACCTTACTGCCCCAGTGTCCTCTCTCCTCCATCTCTTCTTGCTTGCTTTGTGTCTCCTGTTTTCTATTCAACATCCCCAAAAGCTCAGTCTGGACCCAATCTTCCTCTTAACCTCTGTGCTTCGTGTTCAGGTTGTCTCTGCCTCTACATTGATTCCTTAAAGGTGTAATGAGTAACCGCCTGACAGTTATTCAGTTCTAATTTGTAATGTAACTTACCTCCTGGCCGAGCTGGAATTTCAATCTCTAAAAGAACAGCTGATCGTTAATTAAACAATTTTTGCTTTCCTTGAGAAACTGACTTCTGCAAGGAAAGGCTTAAGTTATTCACGCTTTTAACTAAGAATCAAACACATTTTTTAATATAAATTTCAACATTATGTAGTTTAGTAGATATCTGAAGCCTTCAGATATCTGAAAGCTGACGACACAGACATTGATGTATGCTGCAGCACTATGTCATAACAGGCCTAAAATAATCTTCGCCAAACTTCGCCTGTCAGACAGTGTCTGCATAATCAAAGTCTGGTTTGAAAGAAGCCACATGGGCTCACTCCAAAACAATTAAACAGATGTTTGCAGGGAAGATTCTGCAGTTGAAGTAAAGCATGACCACTTGGTTTCTCAATATCTTCCGGCGGTATTTGTGATGTGTCAATTGAAATTCAACAAGTTGCATACCTCTTACACATCATGCTTAATTTCCCCTGTGTTTTCAGCTTCCTTGCCTTCATCGGGACTGTACATGAGGTCTGTGTACTTTCATACAAATCCTTTCCTACAAACAAACCAGCTGTAAACCAAATCAGACCAAACATTGTAAGGCCATAAATGGCGGATAACTCATATAATCATCATATTATTTGACCATTTTTTTTGGTCTTTCTGCCCATGAAAATATGTCATAATCATAATTAACCATCAGGAGCATAAAAGTGTATTTTTTGATATAGCCAAATCAAATCTTAAAGGTCTCAGGGATAACATTTTCTAACATATTATTGTGATGTTGCACATATCATCTAATTATTCTATACATATCCTCATCTGTCTTAACTTCATATTTATTGAGTTGTATCTGTTCTTACCAGCCGCTTCTTTTTATCACATGCCCAGGCACACAAATGGAAGCAAATATATGTCAGCTATTTTCAAATTGTCATTATGAGTAAATGATGCAATATATTTTGTCCTATGTAATTAGCCTTAGGAGCCTGCATCAGTCAGACTTTGCTCAAATGATAGTTGAGCATCTCTATTTACACCAGTTTAAACAAACTCCTATAGAGCAGTATTGTGTTTACACACATCCAGTGCAGAACAAACAGCAGGCAGAACTGAAAGACACAAAAGATGTCTTTCAAAAGTCTTTGGGCTTTGCTGTGTTCTTGTTACTTTTCAGTGTCTGCTTTTTATATTAATGTTTTTAATGGCATTTTTAAGTGTATGCATGATCGTATGTAAGTGCATGTTTGTATTTGTAAATGTGTACGTATGAGTATGAATGTATGTGTAAGTGTGTAGATGGATATATGTGTAGTAGCAAAGTTATTGACAGCAATATTCAAATTATTCATTCTTTTATTCAGTGCACTTTTTAAGAATTACAGTAGCAAACACTTAATCAGTATCAGCAATAAGTAAAGACACATTTCTTTGCATTATAAAAGGACAAGCTTTATATCTTCTTTGATGAGCTCCTTGTCTGGAATACTGGGATCCAGTGATCAACACATAGATTCATTTGACCTGCAAAACATTAGTAATCACAACAAGCTAAAGCAGAGGATACCACAACAGGCTTAAGAGCAAGAAAAAGATGCCTGTGAGTTTAATCCGCCCAGCTCCACTGGTTTCTCTAGTCCTGTCTCTTAGCTGCCTCTGCTTACCAGGTGTTAGATTGCAGCGCTTCATGTTTCCAGCCGTATCCCACACCAGCAGCTCTGCCTGAGCAGAGCAGCAGCTGGACGTGTACCTCACCCACAGTGGCTGAGATGATTCGAGGACCCATTCAGACACATTTAAAGGGGAGTCTCCCTTTTCTAATCTGGCCTTGTGGTGGTGGTGGTAGTGGCTTCCACTGGTTGTCATGTCCCTGTGTTCCTCTTGTTGGTCAGTGCCAGGCTGGGTGTTTCCCATGAACTCCTCTGTGGGTGGTGGGCTGAGGAATAAAGTCAGAATGCCTTCACCCCTCTGTAGCTGGAGGGCAGCGAGGCCGGAGCGCCCTCTGTCTGACACGACCAGAGACGCACTCCAGCTAGACTGTGTGCAAATGGAGGGACAGGTGGACTGCTCTCCTACAGCAGAGCAGAATGGTGGGGACGTGTCAGGATCCTACAGGAGGAAGAGGAAGTGATGTCAGAGCGATGATCAGTGTGTGAGATTAATTGGTGATTACTGAGGAGACTTCTGCATGAATTGTATCCTGTTTGTTTTCAGTTAATGCTCACCGGGGGCACCACGGTCAAGTAGGTCACTGCGTAATTTGATTCTGTAGAGTTATGAACACGAACAGTGAGTGTAAGAGTGACAGTCGCTCCTGCCTGAGCCGTGGCAGGAGTGTGGATGTTCACCTGCTCATGGAAAGACCCGTTTTCTGCAACAGGGAAGCTGAGGGACAGAAAGTCAAACTTTAAAAACTTTGTTTTATTTAGAAGCTTTATTCATTTCTGACAGCACACATATAATTATGGTGACCATTCTGATTTAAAAATGTACATCTCTTCAAAATTATTTTACTTTACTACCTTATTAAGAGACAACAGCTTAAGTTCTCTGCTGGTCATTCTGTGACTGAGCAAGATGTTTTGTTTTGTTTTGTTTTTTACCCTACCTGTGAGGTCCACTCTTATGAAGATAGCCACAGTCATCATCCATGCTCAGACTGAAGAGTCGGGCCGGGCCATGGTTCAGGATGTCGAAGTCCACTATTGTGCTGTGGCCGGGTACCAGGCGAGGGACAGACAACACCTGAGGTACAAAAATATGAAATTGTATGAATCAGAATATTCACCAACACAGAATTTTGATGGAAAGTTGGTCAAGGAAAAGTTGCTGGCCATAAAGTCAAAACAGTTAGCTAGAAGATACTAAAATGTTCCATAGAGCTAAAAGGAACTGCAGAATCGGGTAGAAATTGTGGGTAATAAAAAGGTAAAACCCTGAATTTGTTTGACAGAAGAGAGAAATTAACACCCATAAAGCATGTTTAACAACTGAGTCACAGCATTGACCTCCTTGTTCCCAGAGCAACCCATGTCTTATGTAACACTGCTACAGCTTACCTGTATCTGAACACGAGTGGGCTGCACCATCTCTGTTGAAACCCTCTCCAGCTTGTTTCCTCTGCTGTCTCGGCCTGTAAGTTGAACACAGAAGGGAACGCTGGGAACAGAGTCCAGCCATCCCACCAGCTCGTCCGCTGAGTAGGATGACGATGAAGAAGAAGAGGAGGAGGAGGGGGAGCTCAGCGTCACCTGCTGGAGCGTCTCCCCTTGACCTCCCAGCAGCATCACATGAGTGAAAGATGCCTCGTCCTCTGGAGCCAGGCCTGTAACAGCCAGCACCAGAAAGGCAGGGACACCTGGGGAGTTAAATAAGGTAGAAAGTGTTTTTGTTAGATGGCAGGCACATTCCTGGGTGTGAGATTTACTGTTGACTGTCACTGATGCATCACCAATTATATATCAATACCTTACCTGCTACTGGACTGCCCTCCACTCTGGCCAGACCTGGGTGTGTCTCATTGGTTACAGTGGCAAAGTAATACAGGAAATCTACACTGCTGTCACCTGGTGGTGCAGATCAAAAGACACCTTTTATCTAAAGTGCAGTCTAATAATATCTAATGTGCAAATAATTATCTGTAGGGGGATTTTCTCAGTGTCTTGCACGGTTTTTGTTTACCTATCACATTGAACGTGAGGTGTCCGTCACTCTTGGCGTGGACTTTCCACTGGCCTGGCTGTATAGGGGGAAGCAGGCTGATGCGGTACAGACCCTCAAAGTGCTCCAACTCTGCTAGGGGGCCTTGCTTGCTCAACAGAGACTGGCTTTGGTCTGAACAGGAGAGAAAGAGGAATAATTGTGGAAAATAATTTATTGTCAAATGTATAGAAGAGCAGTGGTAATGGAACATTACAAAAGTGCAGCTCAGACAGTAGTTCCCAGAATATTAATGCTGCCTAGATTTATCTTCCAGCTTATACTTGTATAGCCTATAACTCTGCCCTAGATGTACCTGAAGGATTGGTAAGGAAACACTCTGTCAGAATGCCAGTGACATGTAGGGTGACATTTTTTACTGAGCTGTCAACTCTGAAGCAATGGGAGGACATCAACTCCTGGGCACTCTCCACATGGAGTAGGGTCACCTGGGGAGTAAGGAGGAAAAAATGTGCTGGACATATCTCAATGATAAATGTATGTTTCTACTTTGAAGAGATAGTCAACATTTCTATAATGAAAATGGATCACACAACAACTTTTATGTGAAAGGAGTTGTTCCCGTAATGACACACAGATATTACCAAACCCTGCGGTTCCTGTCAGCTCTATGGAGCGTATTAATGCTTGCCTCCAACTGGCACAAAAATTAGTGAGCAGATTGTTAATAGGAATATGAACCAGAGACTCATTAGTAATGATGTAGCTCAGTTGTCGGGACACCCATAATGGGCCACGAGATAAATCTGAAGGCTTGTGAGATAATTATCAAGGTAGGAAAGCAGGAGAAAAAAACATGTAAAATGTTTATCCCCATTAAAAAGGATCTTAATGTTGTACCTTGTCAGCAGCTGTGTTATCCTCCACTATGGTAGAAACCTTGTGGATGTCAGAGTTGGTGGTGAATATAGTCAATCCTCCTGACAGGGAGGACAGGGAAGAGTAGAGAGAGAAACGATCAGGGGACAAAACTTCCCTACTCCTCCTCTTTCTCCTCCTTCTCCTCCTCCTCCCTCTGGTCTCTGTATATTTGGGGTCTTCAGTTAGGAGAAATGTCACCTGTGGGAAAATCAGATTGGAACTTGAGTGATGGTTGAGCTGAAAGAAATGTGCCCAAAATACAACTTGTCCTCTTGCTTGTCACAGTTTCTGTCCACAGTAAATGCACCGGATGTAAGATAAGACACATTTCATTTCCCAATTCATCTCAGAAAAAAAAATGCACATGCACAATGTACGTAATACTCTTCCTCCTATTTGAAGCAATATAATCAACATCTGCAAATGTAGATAATGACTTCCTGACTTGAAAATTTGAACTGTTAATATCATCAGGTGAAACCTTTAAGTCTGAGATGTTATATTCAAACGTATCCCAGTAAAACCATGGCTCAGTGTCTTCAGACTAACCGCATGTGTACAATACTGAAGATGACGAATCTTTTATTGAGAGGAATAATCTTTAAAATGAAAACCTACCTTGCTCTGTTTCTCAAGTGCGAGTGCCTTCACCGCGTCAAACATGTGGGCATCTTTAGGAGAGGCATCAGTGAATACAAATATCTCTGACAGTGGTGGACTGTGAGTGAGCGCCAACTGTAAACACACAGCGAAATGTGAAATCAGCTGCCACATGTGCTTACAATTCACACATGCAGCTTGGACCCCACTGTACCTGATCACTTCACCTCGAGTCCTACAAAACCAACAGCGTATAAAGTTACCTGAATGGCAGAGAGACACATCTCTGGTTCGTCTCCTCCTCCCAGCGCCGTCAGGTTCTCCATGTGTTGCATAAACTGGTTTGGGTCATTGGTCTCATACACTGGTCCTACAGCTGCAGAGCACAGTAGACCAGAAATGTTAGATGGTAAGTAACAGCCACTGACTTTTTCTGAAATAACAATGCAGCAGAGCCAGAGATATCGAGAGTTTGGTCGGAGATGTGGGTGTATAACACCACTAGTGGCTAATGTAGCCTCGGTAAGCTTGCTTCTTTCTGACACCACTAATGCAACTTTGTAGTGTTCATTCAACACTGACTCAAGTGACATCACTTCAGGCAGTATCAAATTTTGCATGGTTGCCTCTGGAGCCACAAAAGGTGTTTGTTTTTTTTCTCTCCTGTGCAGTAGTAGTGTATTGTGGTATATGCTTTTGGCCATAATAGAGAGAAGTCAAACATATGACTTTTTAGCCCAGCTCTTCAGGCAGATTTTTCCAGCTCTGTACAATACTATTTTCTTTCCAAACTGTGACAGATATCTCTTACCTGGGTCATGGAAGGGCACAAGTAGAAAGGTGCCAGGCTGCCCAGGGCTGTTGGCTCGGCTCTGGATGAGGGCGTGAGCCCGGAGGCGAGCAGCAGTGATCTCCTCAAACATGCTACCTGTGGTGTCCATGACAAATACCAGTGCAGGGACCTGCTTCACACTGAAGAGCCTGTCAAAAGAAGTTTAGAAGGATCATAAAAACATACTACATACCATCATCAGCTGAAATTTGCAACATATACTTGGGAAGCTGAATGGGAAAATGGTCTCAGACTTTTGGACCCTGCTGCATATTATTCAGTGTCTTCTATTCAGACAATTGTAACAGTAGTTTAAAGTTACCGGAGGAAGGTTTTGTGACCAACAGTGTCCCTGAGGTCTCTCAGTACACTCAGGGTGGCCTCAGTAGCCAAAGTGGCAGCTTCCACATGGAGGTAATGGTGAGGGGAGAAGAGAGGTGAGGTGCTGTCCTTGTTGATGCCCCCTTTAGCCCCCATATAGCGGCTACTGTCATGAATACCTCCATGACTACATTTACCTGAAAAGTAAAAAAAAAAGCCATGAAAACATTCTGTGTTGAAAATGCTTTTGATTTTAATTCACATGTTTTTTTTGGCAGGACTGCAGCTGTTGGTGGCTGAAACTGTACATACCCTGAGGTTTTAGATGGTCAGTGCTGAAGTAGCCAGTGGTGAGCAGCTGGGGGTCTTGCTGTGTGTTTGTCAGTCTTGGCAGGAGGTTGTTTCGACAGGTGATACTGAAGCACTCCATACAGGTAGGGGTGTCCTCTGTGGACAGAAAGAGTGAGGGTTTAGTTTATCATCGTTAAAGCTCCAAATCCTTATTGTATGCCCTTTGTCTTTTTTTGTTTTTTATACAAACTTTCCAATCATTTTTGTTTGAGTTTTCACTCTTTGGATTGAAGGTCTTTTCTTCACCATCAAGTACACTGTGTGAGGATTTGGTACAGTATGCAACAGCTTTATTTTGTTACAAGTTATCTGGCAAATGATTGGTCACAGGGAATGTCTACCATTCTGAGTTAAAACGTGTTAAAAGGCTTCACATTACTTTTCAGGTTTAAGGTCAAGTACATTGGAACTGGCTGTGTTTTCCTCCTTCTGCCCATCACCTGATCAGCCATGTGTCTGTAGACTTGTTTTTCTTTAGCCATTATCCTCAGTATGTATACATTACATAGTCAGAGTTTCCACTGTTGTAGTTGCCAAAATGTCTGTGTTGCTAGGTGTGGTTGTTGAACCAGCCACAGATTACCTGCCTTTCCACTGACAAACTATTGACCTGTCATCTAGTTTGTTTAGCTTTATGCTTTCAGTCAGCAACAATAGTTGGCACATCATGAATTAATGTACAGCAAATGTTGGAAAATGCCCCAAATTTTTGTTTTTGTTTTGTTTTTGTTCAACCATATCTGGCCTTATGTTTTGATCTGGAATACAATAAATGTTTTTCCTTTTAATGAACCCAAATGAAAACTGTGTCCTGGGAGATCTTTATCGTGATATTAATCATGATACACAATCGACACCATGCGGCAAACATCTGCAGTCAGTAACTTGAGTAACTGATTTTGTGAAGAGATGCTTTGTAAGATCGTCATGATAGGATCAGGTTTTGATGTGATGAAGTGGGCAGTAGTGTAATCACAGATATGAATATGAATTACCTTTAGCCACAGGGATGGCAGGCTCCTCTGGCTGCAGCAGGTGCAGGTATATGGAGTGCTGGCCCATCTCCACCCAGTTACTGTGGCTGTAGAAATCCTGGCAAAACACATGTATGAAAGACAAAGCCTTACCTGTTTTATTGTGTTTATGTATGAGTATTTAAAAATATTGTTCTTAAATTGTAAAACAGTATTGTTCAGAAGTAAGCTAATATATAAATTGTAACTAATTACCACTGTTACAGTATATCACATCTTCACATCTTCATCTATCATGTCTGTTTACCTGCAGGGAGTGGAGTAGCTGGCCCAAGCTGTGGCGAGCACTTTGGTACTCTTTGGCCCGTACTGAGAGCAGAGTCTGAGCCCACACCTGCCGTAACATCACCATGGCGCTGTCCACACGCTCTGAATCAAAGTGGTACACCGGGTCGGACCTGGTGGAGATCAGGAAGTCCATGGCAGCGTTGGACTTCACCACCTCTTTCACATCTCTCCAGAAGCCACGGCCTAGTCTGGTCTGGGAGGGACACAGGCTGATTTTTACCATCATTGGAACGAGAAGTAGTTCAGTGCTCGATATCACATGGATAATATGATTGACCTCAATGACTCTTTTATACTGGACGCTCAGTAAATACACTGTCTGCACACATCAGCTCACCTGTTCCTGTGCATGGTTTCCCTGGTGTTTTTTGGTGCCCTTCAGAGTCTCCAAGGTGACGTTGAGAATGGCCTGCTCTGTCATGTACTGGTGCGTGTGCGAGTCAAAGGACAGCGTTAACACTCGAGACCAAAAATTGGGGAGGAAGCCCAAGCATGGTAGAGGCAGAAGGAGGAGGTAAGTGAGAATAAACCAGTACAATGGTTTCCCACTCCCCTCCCAGATTCTTCCTCTGCCTGTTGACATTATGTCCTGGAGATAGGCTGAGTATGTCACATCCTACCTGCATAAAATAAAATAAAACCATGGGTTTTGCAGTTAATTGCAATACAAAATACACTCTTGCATCCAACTTTAAGGTATTTAATAGGCATAGCACATGGTATAGACCTAAATAGATGCTAAAATGCTCTGTACACAGATGGGAACTGCAGTCAGGTCAGGTTTGTCAAGCAACACCTGTCACATTACACTTCCGTGTGTAGCCTCAATAAATTTGAGCTTTTTTTGTGAATGCTTTATTTGTTATTTTCAAAGCTATTTTAGTTGCTTTGCCTTTTATGGATGCATGTTGAAAATAATGTTCCAACATCAAACAACATTTAGCTGAACTGAACCAAGAGAGTTCTTTAATGGTTCATGATTTTGTCACATAAAATCAATTCCTGCTTGCTAAATAGATGGTTATGAATTGACCCGACCCCTCTTGTTCAGTAAAGTTTTGTGCTGATTTGATCAGTCTGTGCCAGTCATCCATGTGTCCTTTTCTGTCATCACCCACTCCTTATAACACCCCCCCTCCCTCCCCTAAAACCTTCTTTCACATTTTTCTCAGCCTTGTCTGTACAGAGGCTCCTATTGTTCTTTGTCCACTTTATTCAGATACAATACTTTGGTTTTGTTCTCATAGTCTTATGCTTTCACAAGGGAGACACTGAAACAAAGCATGAGGCCCATAAACAACTGCTCCCTCCACTCTGCCAGCGTCCATTCAGCAAATCACTTTTAATTGATTGGCGTGGGGCCTTAAATTGAGAACACAAAGATTCCTCCTATCAATCACTTTACAGGAATGATGCACTATCTGATACATTTTTTTGTGTTTAACCTGTATAGCTTGCGTACTTCTTATCATTGCTTAGTTTGCCCATTACTGATGCATGTAAGCACAGTGTATTAACTAGAGCTTAGCTTTGCACCAAACTTCCTCCTTCATCGCGGTGAAAGAATGTCAACAAGAATGTGAGTCATTTTTTAATTGCACAAATTAGTACATGCTGTATTCATTATTTTTTTAACCTCTGTTTGTATATTACCAGACAACTACAAACACTTCGTTATAGTTGTACCTTTAATCTAAGTTTTTCGACACAAAATAAAAATGTTCTTACCTCAGTTCATCCTGTCAGACTCTTCCTCTTTAGACTTTGTTGAGACGCGCATTTAGCCGAGACACCGCAGTCACAGCGCGCAGGAACGCCACAAATGTATGTTCATATAACAACTTAGAACCACAACTTGTTAACAGAGGAAACGGCCCCTGATATCACAGCATTCTTGTCTGTGTGACAAAATTATTGAGTCTTCACATTTGTCTGTCCTTGGGCTCTTGTCTCTGGCTGGCTCCTCAGTAAGAAAAATAACAACCAAGATATGAATGGAAGAAGCTTGGATGAGAGTCTAGTTGACACGGCACGGTCTTGGGTGTGTTTCTTAGTGAGGGGGGCACACCGTGAGGCAGAGGACATCCCGTCATAGCTTCCCTACAGCCTTGTGCCCCTCCTTACCCCCCATTATTGCATGGTGCATTGATTCACCACAATAGGGCTGCATATATTACCAGTTAGGGTGTTCAACTTAAGGCCTACCCCAACCCCCCCCTGCCCTCTCTCCCTCCATCACTCCCGCTTTTCCTAAAGACACCAAAAAACACTCCTTTTCACAACTGCAAACACTACAACCCCTTCCTCTCTCCATAGTTACCCGCATTTCTAATGGCTGTTCAAAGAAGGGCATCAGTTGCTAGCCAACGCTTGTGACAATGCTGAACTTCAGTTTGTGCGACTGAATGTGGTAAAAGGACATAGACTAAATGATTGGGGTATTTTTCAGCTTTGGTCTTCTGTTGTTTCAGGGATTTGGCAGCTTCTCAACCACCTTTTAAGACCTAAACTAGTTTTCCAGAGCAAAAATATTTGATCCTGTTTTAGTTATGGGGTGAAAGAGAAACAAAGAGAGAAGAAGAAAGTTTTGTGTCTGTAGTTGTGTCTATGTCTCACTCCATCTCGTGAGCAAACCACAAAAAAAACCACTGTTTCTCTCAGAAAGTGAAAGTAGATTGTTGGGAAGCTTGATCACACACACCTACAGAAGCAGGGTGATGGGTAAAAACATTAAGAACAACCAGAGGTTATACTTCTCTGAACTTCCCAATTTACTGGAAGATAGCTGCAGGTGGTTAGTGCATGTTTCCTGTTTACCTGCGGTAAGGTAACCCACTTTTATTCTGGGCTGATAGTTTTTCACACTGGTTTTGCTTCAGCAGGAAGATTCACATGACCCAGTTTAACAACTGTCGCGTCAACCACATTACTTTACATATTATAATAGGTCTACTCTTGCTACACTAACATATTCTCTGTGTGTTTATAAGAACTGCTCCCGGTATTTTTCTGTGTATAGAAGCATTCATTTAGTCATAACAGACTGCAGAACTCACTCTCTGCAACAATGATAATGAAGGTCCTGATTTGGATAGTCACTTCCCTTTTTCCAACGGCTGTCTTTTTACTGCTCTCATCTTATGATAGCTATCAGCACCACTTGCCCCCCACTTTTTACAGTTGTGGGGAAGTTTTTATGCCAATACATTGCTGATGCCAGTTACTCCTAAAACCCTCAAACCTCATCAGACATTGGAAAATACATGTCAGGTTTAAATATATGAAGGCACAACTAGACAGAAAAAACCGCCAGGAATTAAAGGCATCCTTTGACCAAAACGAAATTCAATATTTACTTTTGCTATCCTTCCATCCTATTTGTTGAACAGACATAAGAAAAAACAAAAAAACATTAGGCTTCTAACTTGTTGTGAACACGTTTTCATCTACTAACTGGTTCTTAAAAACCACAGAGCACATGACAGCAAGGCTCACTCTGATTTTGAAATATATTTTTATTACTTCCACCAAGCGGGTTTTCAGCTGTGTCTGTTTGTCTGTTTGTCTGTCCTGTTTGTTTGTTTGTTTGTCAGCAGGATTACACAAAAAGTACTGAACTGAATTGTACCGAACTAGGTGGGTAGCCGGGGCAGGGCCAAAGGAAGAACCACATTAAATTCTGGGGCAGATCTGGATCATATTCTTTGAATTTAATTTTTTTTTTCTCAGAAGATTGGTTTTGTGCTGTTTGACGGAGGTCTGTGCTCTCTGACTGCACTTCTGTTCTATTTTATTGTTGTGGACCACTGGAAGAAAGCATGCAGGGATCCAGAGTATGCCACCTTAACGCTGAGCATTTTTTGAAGCGTCTCCAAGCTGATGACATGCCACTGAGATTTCTTCCAAATAAGTCAGTCCTTCGTTTTATTTTTTTTATTATTTAGTGTCCGAATTCTGAGGATCTAATGTATCATCTTTATTAATTCATCACTGTACGCAATTTAGATTTACTGCTCATTATATTTGAGTGTGCGTTGTCTTTTAGGCGGTAGGAACTGAATGGCTGAACTATTGTGAAATAACTTGACTTAATTCATGTATCGTGATTATTAAGGACACGTGCAAGGATTAGCAATAAGTTGAGAGTTAGCGAGTAGGTTTGGGAAAAGGTCAGTGGTAGATAGATAGAAGAATGCAAGTAACAGGGCGACTGGACCTGTCTCCTGGGCGCTCCAGCCGAGCTTAGGTAGTAGGCGTGTCCTGAGTTTGACTGTAAATAGGTCAGGCAGAAGCCTCCGTGGCTGACACTTCCTGCGCTTGGTACACTTCTACGTAAAGGTATGCCTCGGATACATTGTTTTAATTATTGGAATATGCTTAAAAGTCACCTTTATTGACTTATAGTGTATAGGTGAAGATGTCTATGTACTGTATGTTGAACCTGCTACATGCTGTACAGGTGTATTATTTAACATCAGGTGAACAGTGCTCTGCTTTTGCACAGATGCACAGATTTTCCTTCAGTTGAGTCACATCTGTCATTTTTACGAAAGACAGT